GGGAAGAATGCTGACTGAACAGGCTAAATGGGCATTTTCTACTTCACGAAGCATTGTTTTATAATTTCTTTTCTTAATGTCGTGTTAATAAACGTTCAAAAACAATATTTATTGCAACAAGAACTTTATACATGAAATCAACGTGATAAACAATGAACTTAAGCACTGAATTGGCTTTCTTAACGAATAACAGCATTCATACAGCATTAATTAACCCTGCCATTTGGACTTCATAGGTTGATACTTCGAACCACCTCTGAAGTTACGGAATGGACTAGGAGTAAAAGTAGTAGTATTGGCAGGAGTGACTTCATTTCTACACGGAAAAGAAGTTATAGGACTTGTATGATTTCCAACAGTTGGCTCATGTAAGGTATCTTCAGGAGGGTTATAAGGAACTAGAGACACAGGATACTGAAAGCAAAGCCGATATTCAATGAATAAGGAATAGAATACACCTTCAAACTTTCTTTATCTTCTCCCTCTTTCTTGTCAATCAAGATATGGCAATTGGCCAAGAAAGAAAATCTGTCGTTTAACGAAACCTACAGAAGAAAAGAAAACTGACGCTGAAAATTCTTGAAAACAAACTTTTTGTCCTGTGGTCTCCCTTTTGATATTCACAACAAACAGCTTATTCTGAGCTTTTATACGTTGTGAGTCCGTAGGCTCTCTTTGAGAAGAAGTGATGATATTCATTCTTTCAACTCAAAATAAAATTATAAAAAATACATATGCATATAGAATAATAAAAAAATAATTAAATAATGCAAGTCAGAAGTTCGTTTGTAGAATATCTCTTCGGGAAAATTACGCAAATTGCGTACCGTTTTGTTTATGGAAACTTGTGCCGAAGCTTTATCGTATTTTTGAAAGAAAGAAAATATGCTTTAACACAATTGTTTATAATAAGAAAAACCTTTTTGTTTACAATTAGTTAAGTATTCATCTGCTCATTAATGCCTTCACGGCCTGTCTCATTTGTATCACGTGAGAATACGTGAAAGTTATTTAATTTATTTCGCAATGAGCAGCTGAAACGAACGGTTGTTCCATCGACATCTCATTACGCAGTACCCGCCTTATTCCAATTTTTCATATTCTTTTAGTTCAATAGTCTGTTATACAACACCTCTCTCCAAATTTCTCTTTCTACTACTTCATATCTGTTTCATACACGTCACTTTCAGATAGAAAACTTTAATATTAATAACAAAGATATTCTTTTCAGATTCGCATTAACTTTTGCATGATAGCAAAGTTATAAAATAATCTTCGATATCTCTTTATTTGAATTTATGAGTTGACTTTCACTAACGACGATTTCTAAATATGTCTTAGAGATCGACTTCCTTTTTCAACTTTAAGACTATCTGCTTGAAAGCTGGTAACAAGAAATACAAAGTCTTTCTCATCCATTCTTCTAGAGGTCTCATTAGTCTATTTTGAAATTCCAATTTCGTATGGAAAAAACGTCAGATTGTTTTTTTTTGTAGATTTCATGAGCTTACTTATGTCATTCGATTTCCTCAAGTCTCAGTGCACTGATAAAGCTGATTATCTCTTCACAGTGGAATAGGTTTTGCACCCATTTTCCACTAGAAACGTTTACCAAAACCTTATGCATGAAAAGTGATTTCGGAGGAAAAGCTGGCAGTCACGTAATGATTGAGTTTGTTATGTTGCTGATGATAGCAAAGCAAATTAAATTTTGAGTACTGAGAGAGAAAAACCTATTTGATGACAGGTCATTAGTCACAATTTTGAATGAACTTCGAAGAGATGTGCGATCTTCAATTTTCTTTTTTTTCTATTATGATGTTCATATGGGGCTCTCGTCCTATTTCCATAATGAAACAGATTTCTGAGTTGTTTTTTTTACGTTTGAATAGGCTGATTTTTTCATCTCTGATCTCATATCTAACTCTGAAAGATATTCTACGAATGTTTTATTGTATGTTTGATAACTTCTTTCTGCTTTATATATTTCTATTCTGAAACATGAGGTATATGAGATGTTACTTCTTAAATCTATCAGAAGTGGATAAATGAAAGGAGTGGGTTGAGGATGACGCGCAAACTCGTTTTATTGCTTTCACCAACTTGAGATGTAAGCTTAGAAGGCATCTCGCATAATGTCAACTCATAGAAATATTTGAATGTTTTTCTTATTAAATTCTGATTATTTTGTTTACTCCCACGTATTGTACCCTATCATGTGTTCTTTACGAGATTTCTAGTTGCCAGTTCTGATTTTTCAGCTTGTTCCTCGTGTTTTGTCATCCTCTCAGTTTGCTTTTTTGGTAAATGCTTCTTTTGTTTCTTTACACCCCTTACTACTTCTGCTTTTCTCTATCTTTCTCTCTCTTCCTCGTTCTCGCACTATCGGCTAATCTTTCCACTCTTTCTCTTATTACCTCTCATGCTCAGTTTGACAATTGAGGTTTCCAATTGAATAATTCTTTTTGAGAGTTGCGATGCTTAAACTAAGATCTTAGCCGATTCATTTTTCGGTTTACGACTTGTTAACAAAGCTGAAAAGGAAAATCGCTGATGTGAAGCTGACAGACAGTTATAAAGAGCTTAACTCAAAAACATGGGGGGAAAAAAACGAAGAGAGAGAGAGGGTTCCTTGGACGTTCTGGCGATTTTCGATCTCCAATCCCTGCTTCTACTTATTTCAACTAATTTCTTCTTTCAACTATCATTTGCCAAAGATTAAATAAAGAAGCAAAGTTTCATTTAAATATTTCATAGTCCAAGAAATATTATAATATATGAGGTTCTTCGTAATTCAGAAGAATATTATCTATCTAAAAATAAATTTTTTTAATATTCTGAATTTACTTTTCTTCTCTTTTTCCCTTCCTCTATCCCACAAAGTTCAACAGGTTTGAACAAACAACTTCTTTCTTTAGTTCATCAACACATGATTCCGTTTCATTTCCTCTTTACATCAGTTATGGCATTGTTGATAATTGAAATGCTTTAAAAGGAAATGAAAATGAGCTTGTATTCATCATCTCAATAGCTTTTGCCTTTTATTGTCAAGTGATTGAGCGACTCGTTTTTTCCTCTTCTTTTCTCTTTATTCACCATTACAAGGGTCTTGTTTTCTTTTAACCTTTTAAGCACTTTATCTAATCTTATTCATAGTTCGAACGGCACTTTCATTCATTTTTGATGACGAAATAGAAGAGGCACTGATTGAATAACTACTTCATGAAAAGATCAAATTATTTTCTCATTTCTGGTCAAGTTTTTTTTCATTTCGCTCTCACTTAACTTATTCTTTATCATTTCCAGAAGTTCTTGATGAACTTTTGAATCCGCTTTTAGCCTCCCTGATCATCTTCCACTTCTTTTCCCCCTCTCTAACGTCTTGTACTAAGCTCTAGTCGCTTTTCTTCCGAATTGGCCGTCTGATCTTTTTCAGATACCTCGTTCAACTCTCTTCCAATTGAATTCTTCTCTCTTTAACTCAGCTGCTCTTTCCTTATTAGATAAATTATATAAATGACCTTATGAAGCATGAGCATGTACTTATTCGCAATTCAATTTCGACAACTGCTGAATGTTTCCAAAACATTCCGATTTTTTCGCTAAGTTTCGAAATGTAGCTCATTAAGTGAATCTAATTAGCATTCTAAATTTCCATAAAAGATATCTCGGTTTTTTCAGTCGCAAAAATCATACGAAACCTTCTATCGCCGAAAAGTCATGATGCTGGTAAACAAGAGAACTTCTTCCGTTCCCAATATCCAGCTAGAGGCTTTATTCTGCCTTTTCTAAGCGTTCTATGTTTCTTATCATAAGTGTTCTTGACGAGAAAAATTTGATTTTGAAATAGAAGTATTTTGAAGGAATTCCTTGATTGTAACACAAAATTTGCATTCTCATGTAAAGTTGATGTGAACCGTTTCACGTGGGGGTAAGTTCATTTCTATATCAGACAGAGGTGGAGATCGGTTGTTCTCCGGTATGTTTTCCCTCTTTCTATTCTTATATACTTCTGCTCACTCTCCTCTCTCACGCTTCTCATTTATAATCTTATTCTTTAAACTAACTTAATAATCCCCTGACATCATCTTTAGTTGCTCGCCTGTTTCGCCTAGCTCATTGCAATCATCCCATAAGATATCATGAGTTCATTTGCCATTCTATTCCAAATATAATCACTGAAGATGATCAAAATCTTTTTTTTTTCTTGAACGTCCAGTACAGCATTTTGAAGAGATTCTGATCAGAGGGTCTTGAATCGTCTGAAGCCTATTCACCAAGTTGTAATTCAATTGACTCGTCTCGAATTTGACAAATAAGGTTCTGGAAGGCGGTCTCTTGTTGTGTGTCTTCTTGATTCAATATCTATATAGATATATAGTAATCCTAACTATCAAACTACTAAAAAAAACACATGAACATGAACACACTTTGCCTTGCTTCTCATGACTGCTTGCGAACATGATTTCTTTACTTACTTTCATTAACTTTCAGACATTTTATGTTTTTTCTGTGTTTTTTTTGCATTCAAAGTTAGTATTTGTCATGTTTATTCTATAGCTTTCTATATAGAAGCTCTTCAATTTAGAAACTATTCGTGTTTTAAGTATTGAAAGGGTCCTAGTAATTACATTGCCAAGCAGAAAGACATCAAAATAGCTTAAAACTCATAATTTTTGTGGCATCATTCTCGTCATCTACTAGATTCTCGAGCTTTCATTCATTTTGCAAATAATTAAGGTTATGAGTTAAGAAAAGAACATTCTTATGTTTGTCCTTAGAACATAGAACGTATTTTTAGAATATGCTCTTTCATTCATCTCCACCTTGCACAAGAGATACATTTCATTGAAAGCATGAGAAGGCCTGAGACATCTCATATTATTCTCACATCATCATATTCTCATAAAGTATAGAAAGCATGTTCTATCTTCAGCTTCTTTTTATTTTATCTTTCTATTTGTCAACTCTCTTGGTTTGAGGCCATCGTAATGAAGGTCAATTTCAGAAATTTGATTACTCTTTGCCGATCTATCTATAGAATAATCACATGTATGCTCACTTTCGCCCTCTCCATGTTGGATGAGCATCCGTGAGCTTAGCTTAACTGTATAAGATGATTAGATTAACATCTCTTTGACTATCTTGACATCTAATTATTCGCTCTCTCTCTCTCTCTATCTCTCTTTCTCATCATATGCTCATTGATTTCAATTGTTTCCTTAAAGAAACAAACAGACTTCTTCGATTTTTGGTTATTTTAGATTTGTGGCTAATTGAAATATGAATGAATCAGCTTTAATCTTGGTTGATTCAAATTTGAATTTTACAACAACTGATGTAGCTGAAGTCGATCCAACTAGGGCAACATTAAAATTATGTTTGGCTATAGCTTATATTGTCCTTTTCCTCTTAGGGACTATAGGAAATGGGTGAGTTGAATGAAAATTGAATTCTTTTCATCAGATTTTTTCAGAATTGTGATCGTTATGATAATCAATGTACTCACATCAATGAGACGTACAACATCTCTTGGTAAACGTAAATCATTATCAAATACAAACCACGTGTTCATCTATGTATTGGGTAAGTAATTCTATTACCATATGAAAATGACTTCAAATACTTCCCCTTCCTTCATCATCCTTTTTGTGTTGCTTATTGAAAAATATAATTGATGATCATCAAATTCTGCTTCCGCTGCCAAAAAGCCATGCTCACGCATTCTCTCTCCCCCTCTCCCTCTCTCTCTCTTTAGCTATCCTTTTGTTTTTATTCAATTTGATAGTTTCTTTTTTAGGTTTGTCAATTGTGGATTTCCTGGTTATAATGCATCTCCCTTTCTTAGTAGTGGACTTACTGAAAGGTACTATATACAGTAATCCTCCCTTTATAAGCTGAATGTTGCATTAATGGAGAAACAATTTTTAATTTTTTTTTGTTTTTCATACATTTTTTTTGATAATTTTAGGCCAATGGTTATTTGGAACAGCCATGTGCAAGCTCTACTGGTTTGGAGAGAGCGTTAATAAACTTTTATCTTCATTTATTATGACTGTACTAAGCTGGGACCGCTATTTGGCTGTGTGTAGCCCAGTAAAGTCTATTAGGTATGATATTTTCATAAAATGAAAAAGAGACTACCGTAAACATATTCATATAGTTTATGTCTTTTGAAAGAACAAAAGTCATCTGAAGGTTCATTTCTTTTTTTCAGAATACGATCAAATACAATAGCTGTTATTGTACTATTGACATGTTCTTTGTTAGCTGTCGTTCTTCTGTTACCTGTGTTGATAGAAGCTACTGTATTCAAAATTGATAAATTGAAAATGATACCATTGATGGAAGATTCTGAAGATTTACGTTTATCTGGTCATTATCATGCTAGTCTCTCATATAAATGCAACACATTTCAGATTTACATGGAACAACGATGAACAAATGCATGTTCGATTCTGATGCCACTTTCACCTTGTACACTTTCATGATAGGATTTTTCATTCCAGCTCTATTCATCACATTTTTCTATTGCCGGGTAACTATTGTAATGATCATATGTTAACAGATCATATATGATTTAAGGTAATTTATAAATTACATAAGTCTTCAAGAAATATGAGGGAGATGCGTAGTTCTAACCAAGAGACCAGTAAACGGGATACTGATAGAGTCAAACAAGTAAGTCGCATCTCATTCTCACAAAGATACAAGTCAACTGTCATTCAGGTAACAAAACGCATCGTTGCCGTTATCATGTTCTACTTCTTATGTTGGACACCTCAATGGGCTCTGAACATTATGATTCAGTTCAACCTGATACATGTAAGAGCTTTGAATATTATCAAGAGGTTATTTCATTTCATTTTAGGTGTCTTGGATGACCCCGGCTATGTCCGCACTTTTCTTCATCGCCCATCTTCTCGTACGTCTCTTTAATCTATGATTCTCACGAGATTATAGAACTTTTTTGTTATTTTTAAACAAACGAAGAGCTATTTCAGGTTTGCTTCAATTCTGCCGCCAATCCTGTGCTTTATGCTCTGATTAATCGGGAGTTACGACAACAGCATTACCGAGCAATGCAGAAGAAAAGGCAGTCCATAACGCACGCGACGCACGAAGCACTCGAATTTGTGGCCAGACACACGCACAAGTCAGCATCTTTCCCTCTATTTGGTCATAAAAAAGAGACAAAAAAAAAGAAGAAGAAGAAAAAATTATTTTTAGTGGAAAGGCTTTGATTCCGTTGACGTTCTGTTCAACCAAAATAGCTTTTATATCTTAAATACTTGAGAAAGTAGACGTTTTTGCATCTAGTTAGATTTAAGCTTTACATGCTTTTTTGATGATGATGATGACCGAGGTGACAGGATTCTGATGATTTGGCTGTTTCTTTGCCTGTCTAACATGCTGTACCTATCATACTTGCTTGCACGAGCTTCCTGTCCTTAAGCACTTTCTTTGACATCAGAAGTATATTGAAAAGGAAGAAAAATGAGTTGAAATCAGAAAAAAAATATGATGAATAAGAAGAGGTGTTTACTGCGCTACCCTTGACCTAACATTCTGAGTTTATTTCTTCAAGCATGATATTTTCCATTTCCATTCTCGGGCTATTGACGGCGTTCGAGGCTATGAAGTTTCTCGTTAAAATCTTTTTATTTTTTTGATTTTTTCACGAAAAGAATTTTCTTTTTTCATTCACGTATTTCATGAAATAACTTCCTCAGAAACTTCAAAACATGTAGAACATACTTCAATCTCTATCAAGCTTCTTAGGACGCTTTCTGTGATTTTTCGATTTCAAACGCATGACCACGTTCTGTTTTCACACCTACTTCAAGCTTGGTTAATGCAAGTTATTGTCCATATTTAGGCTTTCAAACCAACGTGTCAACTCAGCTGCTTCTTTCAATATCGTCACTTTGCAAGACGGTAAACGACTATCCTTCTGGGAGAGCGTTCGATTGAGGTTCTCCTTTCTTTCTTCTCTTTATATTATTTATATACTATTTATATTTATTATTATTATTCCTCTAATGCATCTTTTATATACTAACACATCTATATGTTGTAACTTTGTAACTTCTACAAAACATTTAAGAAAATATGAGATTTTCAAAATATATTTATATAGAAGCATGAATATTAAATGTTGTCCATGACTTTCGATCTCATTCTCTCTCTCTCTCTCTCTTTCTTTCTCTTCAGTAGATTCTAGATTTTCCAATCTATTCCTTTTCCAATATTTTCAAAATCAAAATATCTTCGTAGAGGATGAAAATAAAATTGTTTTATTCCAGGCTCATTGGAATCAAGGATACCTTGCTACGAGCTACTGGAGTAAGGTCAGTAGCATCGAACTCTTCCTGTAATTAACATGCAAACTCAATTTTCTAGATCTCGATCCCCATCCAACTGTTCTCAAATGTCTGTGGACGTTACTTTTCAAGAAAAACCTAAAGTATTCCATCCAAAATAAAAACAGTTGCTCACAACTTATTTTTAGTATCTGGTTCCGCCTTGCTCGTCAAGCGTGCCGTCGACAAGCTCGAATCTTTTAGAAAATCAAGAAGATGATTACCTCTGACAATGACATAACACTCACAATTTTCAAGAAACAAAAATAATTGAAATAAACTGATAACTTGTGAAATTAGCATATCAAAGGCTCTTCGCGTGACGTGTACGTGACGTGTACGTGATGTTCTTTTTTTTCAAAAGTAAAAATCATTTTGTTGTTGATGCAATGGAAGGAACGGTTGGTTGTGCGTATGTGAAGAATGCAAATTAAAGATACTCATGTTGATAAAGAATGAAAACAAATTTATTATGAATAATATTTGATTGAAAATAAAAATAATAAAAAAAAAGATCGTCGATTCAATGAAAAAGGCTTAATTAAAACCCGTAATGAGACTGAGTTGAAACGTGTTTTTCTCCTTTCGCATGTTTTTTTTTGTTAAAAAAAAAAATAAAAGTTTGAAGCAAATATTCAGTCGACAAAGAGAGAGACAGAGAGAGAGAGAGAGGCTCAATTCATTATTTACATTTTGACAATAGAAATCTTTAAACAGCAAAATCATCCGGCAAGTCCGGAACCGGTATAAAAGCATAACGAAGGAATAATAAGAGTACGAGAATGTTTAGAAGTTGAAACATGAATAGAAAGACATGATCAACTCTTGCAAAAATTCTGTTCCATTCGCGTTCAACCTGAAAAGGATCAAATAACATGAGAATCTTGGTGAACTTTTGGATTTTAACTTCATTTCTATAATCTTTGATCATTATATGCACTTGGCTTCTTGTTCAAAAACGTTTTTCAAGAATTTTGTTTTTAATAAGATGACTCACTTTGGATATCCATTGCTGACGCTCGATTTTCTCCCTATAAGCTTGTTGTGCTTTTGAAACTTCAATTAATTGTCCATAAATTGCCAACAAATCAGGAAATTTAGGTCTGAAATTAAAAAAAAGCTGAATGCACAATACGGTTGTTGATGAAACTGACATCGTCTTTGTTGATTTTTCCATATTTTGGATGATACCATTTCCTTTCATAGCCTTCACAGGTTCAAGTAATAGAAGTCTATAAGCACTCCTGGATGGTAAACGTTCAGTCTGAGTAGAAAGTGTTTGTTTAAGTTGTTGAATATCAAAATGAATACCTGTATGTAAGACCTTGATAATCCTAATAAAGCCATTGAAATAGCTACAGCAATCGCACATAGCATGATGACAACGATTATATAGAAACCTATGTTGTTATCATTATTTTCAAATCCGTGTCATGTACTTACCTAATAAGGGGATGGAGTTACTCTTTGGCATTGCCCCAGCAACGATATCCAACAGAACTGTCATTGCTAATAATGATCCAAGACCAAGCGATACCTATAACAACCAAAAATCAAATTTGAATGCAATTTCTGGTATCATGATGAGAAAGTAGAAATGAGGGAATACTAATTTATATTCAAATTAGGAATGACAAACCTTTTCATTCCTGGGACCATCATTCGAGCCAGGACTGAATATTCCAAGAATGGATAGAGCTGAGATAAGGAAAGTTGGAACAACAATGACAGTTATGTAGTAAATTGGTCGTCGATTCAGATGAACAATATAGTGAACTTCTGCTCTATACTCTCCATCTTCCATGAATTTCATTTGACGCACTGTCACATTAATAACTTCCCACTCAGCATTTCCCTGAAGCGTTTCGTATTCGTGAGATTCATCAAGAAGCATGACTTACAGAGAAATACGAGTCAGTCGGCGGACGCGTGGCATTCACGTCCATCTCTTCAACAGACAACAAGGGTGAAGCTAAGGCAATGGCACAAAACTTGAAAAAAACAGAAAATGAACACATCGAGTACAGTCAATGAGATACCTGTGTATCAAAAGGAAACAAATCGATGTTAATTCGGCATAAAGATGTTACAAATTGAGGAATATTAATTTTAACATGACCCGTATGTTGAACTCGTACGTCGTAACGATCTTCATTAAGCATATCTTTAGTATCCATACTGAATTATTGATCAGCTATTAAGTCTCTCTAATTATATGACCAAACCTGTTGTAAATAAATAGTTTTGGGACCCAAACCAAATTCTGAGGAATTACAACTTGTTTTAGACCGTTATGCTTGTCAGGATCCCATGATAAATTTGGATCATGCCAACGCTGCAATACATACACGTAAACGAATATAAAAAATGAAATTATTTATACCTGCACATGGGATATCACAAAGGAAGCAACCTGTTGATTTTCTCTCTGAAATACAAAAATATGCTAATTATGAATTCACGTCTTTCACGTGATGAATAAACTTTCTGATTGGAGTTGTCAGACGCTTGTGAAGCGGTTGTGTTTTCGTTCAGTTTTTTTTAATATTTTCTTCATGAGCATTATTTTTTCATTTTCTTATTTCAAAAATCATAGAAGAGGATGAAAATGAAAGATGAACTCACAATTTCAGTTAAAATTCCCAAAACGATGGTCATATGGATGATAACAGGCATGTTCGTATCAGCATTTGGCCGAACTCGCTTATCATACTTATGCATTATACTATCCAATACATTAGTTGGTTCACTATTCATAGATATTGCATCTGAAAAACGAACATGAACATTCTCTTTTTCGTTTTTCTCTTCGTTTTCTTTTTCTCATTTTTTTTAAAACCAAAATATCATTCTTCGTATTCTCGGTAACAAAAGAAAAACGGAACAGCCTAATGAAGATCAAAGTTTTTTTTTGCATTTCAAGCTTCAATTCCAGAATTTCCATATTTTTTGAAACATGGAAGCGTAGCGAATAAACAAATTAAAATAACTCGAATATTTCTTTTTTCTTTTCCTTTTTTATTTTATTCAAAAAGAAATGTCTTACAATTATGAAGTTGATGATGCTTCCTACCATTTCGACCGATTGATCGTTCAAACAAAACAAACAACGTCAAATATCCAAGAAGTTTCATTATTAGTCATATAGAAAACTCTGATTATCTGTAAGTACCTTATTTGAGATACGAATATACAGAGGTAAATGAAGAGAGATAGAGAGAGAGGGAGAGGAATGACTAGACAGAGAGAGAGAGAAAGATGACAAGAAAGAGAGGTGAACAACAAAGAAAAAAACAAATTGATGGAAGAAAGTAGAAGCATTCCTGGTTCTCTTGAACATGTTTCGTACGAATGAATTCGTGTTGTGAGTGATAAATATGGAAATTAGGAGAGTAAATAGGATTTCATGATCAGATTTCATCGAATAATTTGCATATTTAAGATAGGAACATCTTGAAAACAACACAAATAGTACAAATTAAGAATAGGATTTTTAAAAATTTTTGTTAATCGATGCTATGGGGTGAAGAATAGAGGACAAATTGCTTGAGAATTAGTTGGTCAGTAAAGAAACGGAAGAGAACGATTCGGAATCAAGGAAGAGAGCTTTCAACTGACTGGGATTGTTGATAAGCAGAAGTGAAGTACGAGACGAAGCTGTAGTTTATAAGCTTTAATGAAGAGAATGTTGGAGGATGTACAGCTTCTGGGAGGCGAAAAAAGGTCGTGAGACTGAAAAAAGTCAACAACTTGTGGTTAAAAAAGGAAAAAAAGTTTTTTCCTCTTCCATTTAGCTCAAGGGAAGGAAAAACGTGGCAATAATACGAATGTACATCCTGTTAAGTATTTGGAAGGTGGAATAAAGAGGGAGGAATTAAAGAGGGAAATAAGAACAGCTTAATATTTTGCAGAAGCAACATTGGGATTATTATCATTTTAATGATTTCAGTATGTCTGGGTGTATGCGTGTGTGTGTGTGTGTGCATGTGTGTGTGTGTGTGTGGTGTGTGTGGACTGAAGCTGCTGTTAGCTAATCATATTCTAGATGGGCAAAATAATTTTTTAAAAACAGTAAAACGTAGGTTTGAAAGGGAAATTGTTAAGAGAGAATGAGAGAGGTAAATAGAAATAGAAAGAGGGAACAAGGGAGAGAGGGGAAGAGAGAAGAGAGACAACGATGAGAACTTGAAAGAGCTGAGCAGTTTGAGTAAAATTGGAACAATTAAACGTATTATTCCATGTGCTGCTCAATTTTGGTGGTGGATGAGCAAGAAGACGAAGGAATATACATAAGTATGAAAAGATATAATATATTCGTTCTCTGATTTAAAAATAGTTTAAATGAATAAAGAATGATGAACATTCCATTAATATCGTTAATAGAACAATACTTCTCTCTTAATTGGCTCCCCGAAAAAAACTGCCCGCGAACATGGAGATGCTTGAGAGAGCGAAAAAATTTTATTTTTTTTTGGACGTGGCTTATCAGAAACAGCAAAGAGGAAAAAAGAATGAAAAGAGAAGGCGGATGAGAAGAGTGAGGGAGGTGGATACATCAAAAATTTGAAAAGAAACCACTGAAGAGAGAAGGATGAATTCAGATGAAGATGATCTGAAGGAGACAAAAGAAGAGAAAGATTTCACAGCCTCCATATCTGCCCTCTTCTAAGCACACATTGCTAAAATGTAAATTAAGAGAGTTTTCAGTTAAACAGATTTAACAAAACTTCAAAAAGGCAGCTCACTTATTTCGTTTTGCATACTTTGTCGACCAATTACCGGCTTAACCATTTGCAATGGTACTTGAAAGTAAGAAAATGCGCCAGAAGAGAAGAAAAACTGATGTTATGGCAGGAGAGGAGAAAGAGAAAGAATGGTTCAAAAATGATTCAGATTTTCTAAGTAAGTGAAGACAGTGAGAGAGAAAGTGAGAGAGAGGTATCTCCATAATTGTCTTAAAAAATTATGGGAAAAAAAAGAGAAGAAGAAGACCGAAGGACAACTGACGATTATAAGACAGACGAAATAAGTAGAAGCCTAAAGAGAATAGGAAACAGAATATAATAAAGATATTGAAGAGTGTGTGAGAGAAAAAATGTTCATAAACATAAGAAGAGAAAGCAGAGCAGTAGAAGTTCGTTGATCGAACTGAAAACGAAACTTTCCAAATCAAAAACTAAAAGGTAAATGGATATGGATTGTAACGTCAGTAACCTGATTCACATTGTCTTCTCATTCTCAATATAACATATGTTCCTGTTTGCTCAATATATAACTAATTATAAATCTTTTGGAAGAAGTATTGAAAATTCTTTTGATCTACTCTCAATTCATTTACATATGTACGTGAGATACACGTGAAGAGCAATTAGAGAGAAGATTTTCATTATCTTTCTCACGCGCACACAGAGCGGTTGATGTTCGGCAGTGGCCTGGAAGTTCTTCAGACATTTTCATATTGTTCTCTCTATCTTTCTTTTTTTCTCTCTCTCCCTCCCTCCCTCTATCTCTCTCCCTCTTTAACTAAGCTTCTTCTCTTTCTTCTTCTAGTAATCTAACTCTCTTAGTTAGTTTCATCTCTCGAATAGTGTTCTTTGGCTATTGTGCTTCTTCATTCATTTACTATTGGAAGTAGAAGAAGAAGAAGAAGACGAAGGAGATGTTGTGAGAACTTCCAATTATCAAAAATTCATTTTGACAGCAAAAATTTTTGTTGAGAAATCCTGAAAATTCGAATAAACAGACAGAATGAAAACGTTCAAAGAGTTTATTAACTTGTACTGTTGCAAGCACTTTAAAGATGCTTTCTTCTCAAATTGGCTAAAGGAATGCGTAAAATGAAAGAAAGCATTTAAATAAAACGTATCTTTTCAAGGTTTTTTCCTCTCATATCCCTCTCAATCGTTAGTTATCTCTCTCACATTCTCTCTCTGTTGTTACGTATCTCCCTTCTAATCTCATAGGAACTGCACAAAATGAAATCTTAACGTATTTACAAAAATGTTTAATGGAAGAAACAAAGCAAAAACAACTAAAAAATCCGGTGAAATCGGATACGTGAAGACGAAAAAATGAGAGTCTTTATCGTCTTTTGTAAAGGCAAATGCCTTTTTCTATATCACAAAATCTCGTAAATTGCACTCCAATAGTTCATTTTTTCGAACAAAAACGGATTGTTTTTGCTGCCGTTTTTTCAAGATGGAGGAATAACTTATTAACTATTCATATGGTTAGGAAATATCAAAAAAGAAAAGAAAAGAGAAGAGAGTAAAAAGGCTGAGGAATAATTAAGTTTTATGATAATCATACACGGCTGACATGGAAATCTTGCAGAGCAAAAAAAAACTTTTTTTTTTTCGTTTTTTTTATAATGAAAACAATTTGAAAAAGTTTTTTTTCTCTCTCTCTCTCCCTTTCTCTCTTCCTCACTGTTATTTTCTCTCTCTCTCTATCATTCTCTCTTCTACAACATACCACACGACAGACGGCACACAGCTTAGGATATAACATGTCGCCTGAAGCTATTTGATTCAGCAAAACCTTTTCTTCCTCTTCTTATTTTTTGTAATTTTCATATAATTTGCATAATTAACAAATTCTTTTTTTTTTGTGAGGAAAACAAAGTTCAACGAAAGTTCAGAAGTTTGTTGAGACAGAAAACGAATATTGCGTTAGTGATTTGTATGAAAACACGAATGTAGAAGAAGAAGAAAAGGAGGAAGAAGATAAAGTTCAAATTTCGTGCTAATAAGCTCAATTTGAGGAGTTTTCCAACAGGGTCGTATGTGTCAAAATCTAATATGTTAATGAAGAGTAAGAGGAATCGAAGAAGATGAAAAAAAAAAAAAAGCTGAAAGTGAAGATGTAAAGGTTAAAAATGTTTTTGAATCAAAGATGAAAGAGTTGTGGTAAGATGTTAATAAAAAAAATATTTTTAATTAACCATCTTTCTCTCACTAGCTTTAGATCTCTCTTACTCTCTCTCTCTCTCTCTCTCCCATCTTCCTTCTTCAACATAAATCTTCAGGAAAAGGTTTTTTGATAACAAAAAATAAGTTAATTAATTGATGGAGAAGCATGGAGAGAAAAAGGTAAAAAAATGTAGAAATGGAATGAATTGCGTCAAACAAGCTTATCCTCCCCCTTTCTACTTTCTCTTCTTGCGCTTCCTCTCTCTCTCTTCTTCAGCTTCCTCCTCTCTCGAGATCGTCTCTTCTCTTCATCCTCCCTCTCTTCTTCAATTTTCAAGTCAGATTTTAGCTTTTTTTTTCATAGAAAATAAGAAACAAATTGGAGGATTCTTATAAAAGGGGCATATAATACGAAACATAAATTAAAATTTCTATTGACCAACCTACACACTCATTCATTCTTTGAGATTTCAAAGCTTCTCCTCTGAAGCTTTTCTTCTTCTTCTTTTTTTTATGAGTTTTGTTTTGATCTTCCTCTTAGGAAGATTATCGTTCAAACATAAACTTTCTCTTTCTCTTAACTTAATGCCTAACAAGGAAGTACAACTTTGACTTTTGACTTTTTTTTTCTCTCAAATCTTGTGAAAATTTGACGCTTCTTCTCTGTCTCACGATGATTTGGGCCTCAAATTTTCAACTTTGCTCCATCCGTTTAGAAAGCTTAAAGGTGAAGATGAAACAAACATTCTATGCAAAAGCCCATGTTCCAGCTTATAAACTGCAATCATAAAGTTTTTCCAAACTAAAGAATAGTTTTATACAACTTGAATTCAAACAAGGCTCAAATGACTCAAAATGAATAAGCGCATCCCAGAATGGGAGAAAAAAACAAAAAGAAAGGGAAAGTAAGAGAGTAAGAAGTAGACGACGAAGAGAATAGAGAAAGCTTGAAAATAAGGAAACTTTAAATTAATAGCTTAAGACACAGTTTTTATTTTCCATAAAGCAGCTATTGAAGTCATGAACGAAGATTTTTTCTTTCCCATTCACAGCCTGCTGGCATTCTATTCAAAAGTTAATTCGTTCTGTTTATTTGTCAATCGACTCATTGTTTCATCAATTGGAAGACATTCATTAGCATCCACGTGAAGTAACGTTTCTCACGTCGAAGTACGTGCGAAGATGAAAATAGCTTATTTGTAATTAATCATTCCTATTGAACGGTTGTATCATTTCTTATTTTCACATAGACCGAAGAAGATGCTTGAAAATTCTGTTCAAACACAATTCTTCTGTCAGCTAAATTGGCTTCCTTTCCTTCCGTATCTTTACATGTAGTTAAGTTGTTAATTATATGAAATTATATATTATATCTGTCTACATCAAACAGTTAGATGCTCATCTGATTGTAAATAAAATGCATTATTATAATGTTTTCTTTATGTAATTTGAAAGCTGAATTATTGTGCTAATATAGGTACGAATATGAACAACATGATTTGGATGTGGGCAGCAGCAGAACATACAGTAGAGATGTAGAAGGAAAGAGAGGGAGATAGATAGAGAGAGAGAGAGGGAGAGAACATCTAAATTTTTTCTTTTCTTACAGATTTTATATATAAGATTCTATTATTTTTCCGGAATGACATAAAGCTTTTGAAGAATAAAAAAGAAGCTGAAGACGACGAAGACGAAGAAGACGAAGAACAAGCTTCATAACCTTATTAGCTATAAGAATAATCTTTAATATGAAAATATTTGTCTTCATAAAAGAATATAGTAGCTATTACTAAATGAATTCCATTGATCAAATGGGTCAAAATGAGCTCTGTGATCGTCTATTTTTCAACTCAAATGATCTGAGCTTTGGTTAACGAGAGCAGAGACATAAGTAAACTAAGAGATTGAAATGAAATGAAGAATCTTTCATTTTTTTTATACCTAATATATACAATCTGAAGAATTTACAATCATGTCTTAAGCTGGTTTTCTCTCTTCCCTCCCCCTTTTTTTCCAAAATTTGTTAATATTTCAACATAATTTCACGTGCTTTTTTCTAAACCTTGTTTGGAGAAAATGTGAGTAGGAGGAGAGAGGACATGCTAATCCTCACAGCTTTGAAGAGCATTCTGTCACATGCTGAGTGAGTACTGAATGTGGAACCTCTCTCACTCTCTCTCTCCCATGATTTCCTTATTTGATAAGATGTTCTAATTTACCAACCAACAAATAATTGTAAGAAAAATTCCATAAAAGAAGATCAATTAAACAAATTAATTTGTTTGAAATAGAGAAGCCGTTTGCAACTTGATCAAAGAGTGAAACATTCTCTTCACATTCGATGATGTTCTCAAATTGTGCGAATGCGTCTGACTTCAGTCAGCAATATGAGCGGAACATCACAAAAGATACTTCCTTAACTTGACAAATTAAGAAAAATATTTCTCTATCGCAGTTCCTCTCCAAATTGGAGTAAAAGAATCTCTGGTGTGTACAAGAAGTTATGAAAAATATTCAAACTAAAAGAAGACGGTTAAGAGGACGAAGGAGTTCAACCGTTAAGAAGAGTTTGTAAAGGATCAGAGGTGAAATACAGGGAAGAGATCTGACTGGAAGAAGAGAGAAACATGTGAACAAAACGAAAGAATCGAGAATTCTCTTTTAAAATAACAAATACTAAAAGACAAATTTGTTGTAAAAAAAAAGAAGCTTTTTTTTCCTTCTGCAGAAAGCTGAGCCGAGTACTTGAGATCCGGGACGTTGAAGGAATCACGTTTTTGCAAACAGAAAATGAAAAAAAAATCTTAAAAATTAAGAAGAAAACACAATTTATGTTTTTCGAAAGGAAGTAAAAGAAAACAAAATATTTATGAAACAATCAAAGTCTCTTATATCTCATCAGATGAGCTTCTGTGACGGCAGGAAGATAGGCAAGCAATAGCTTGTTGCAGCTTCGTGTTTCATTACAGCAATAGAGTTGAAAATATTTATTAAAACTAAATCTTTTCAATATTAATTGAAACTAAAATCTTATTGGTATGCAGAGAAAGAGGAAAAGAATAATTTCAAAGAGCAATCACCCGTTTTGATTAATCACCCTTTTTGATATCCTTAGGTATCGATAGTATTGATTATGACAGAGTAGGAGCGCATATCTCTAAGCGAATAGTGTCGTCCTTCAACTTCCTTGCTTTTCATTTTTTATTCACTCCAACACACATTCTTCTGCAAAATCATTTTATTCCGCATAATAATCATTCCGTCATCCTAATTTACCCGGTATGCATGTTCCGTTTTTCTCTCTTGAATCGTGGCGCTCTCATCCGTTCTGATAAAGGAGGAAGACCGAACGCTGATGGAAACCTAACGAATTACGTTAAAATCAATTATTGTTCTTTATATAGCTACACTAACCAAAAATCTCGTGTCATATATATGATTGACAGAGTCCAAACTACCAGTAATGCCCAACCAAAGTATCGTATTTGATCATCATTCGATAGTTTCATTCGATAATCACTCATGGAACCTAATAAGCCACGAAACATTTCTGAAATTATATATAACTTGAAAAAAAAATTATTTATGAATTCATTCTAAAAAAAATATTCAACCGCTTCATTAATGTGAGAAAATAGAAAAATGAAAGAATGCTGTCTTCACGTAAAGCACGTGGAAGAATATTTTCACGTATGCAAATTTATTGGCCAGCATCACATAAGAATAGACGATGACACAAAGGAAACTAAATGTTTTGACAGTTTTTTTTTCAAACAATTTCATCCAAAAGGTTAAGTTGGAAAAAAATATTCTTTACCATCATTTAGAATTCAACAATTATTGTTTTTTAGCTCATTTGGCTTAATTAATATCTCTTCAGAGTAGTTTTTCTTTCCTCAATACACTTGTCTGCTTGAAATGTTGAAAGAAAATATTAGAAAAAGGTAAACAAACATTTCATATTTGCAATATTCACATCTAAATATGGAAAAATAAACAAATTTCTTGTCATTTACATGAAAGAAAATCTATACTAAATGGGATACACAATGATTCGAAGCTGCATGTGATTAGTCATATATCCAAGAAACTTTGAATGGAAGGACTGACACCGGATGCAAGTTGGTGACTGAACAAATTTCTGAGTCCATTAAAGCTCGGTCATTTAACCTCTCCTTCTCTCTCTCTCTCTATTTTCCTTAATCTCTCTATTCTTAAGGGTATATTGCTCTAATCATACATGACATTCTTATATAATCGATAACTTTTTCTTAAGTTTTAAACAACGTTTTCGTAATTTATCAAATAGAGAACCAATTGAATAACTAACCTCACTTATAGTCTTCGAAGATTCTTGTAAGCTATTTGACTATTGATTAACCAAGTTTTATGGTCATGCAACAAGTTTTCTTGAAGAAGTGAGCAAGGAATTGCATCTTAGCTTTCATATTTATTTGCTTCGTTGTTTTTCTTTCGAAACACTCTATAGCTTGTCGATAATGAAAAAAAAAGTATTTTCTAACACTATTTATTTCCACAAGTTGTAAATGTTACAAAACATCAATAAGGTTAGATTAGTATAGCTAATAAGTATGTTCATATTTATGAGATACAATAAATGGCTCAAATAAAGCAAAATATACAAAGGTTAACAGGGGAGTTGTTTTCTTCTTCTTAGAAATGAGGATGAGGATGAGGATGTCTTCTTCCGTGTTGTCCATGACGATGGAACATTTCCTCACTTGCTCCGAATCCGTGAAAACGTGGGCCGCGTGGGCATCCGCGACGCCATCCTCCAAAATGTCCGAAAGGATGATGATGCACTCCTCTGAATTTTCCAAATCTTCCATGTGAATGCGGGAATCCGTGTTTGAAATGATGACTCATGTGAGAGAAATGTTCATCATCCCCGTCTCCTGGCAACATGCTTCTTCTCCCGAAATGAGGGGGAAAGTGAGGTGGTCTATGAAAACCATGCTTGTGTTTTTCATTTTGCATGCATTTCATCATTTTCATGAATTTATGATGCTTTCGATGATGAGGAAAGTCGCTCTCTTCCCCTGAAGAGCTCTCAGAGGAAGAATCATGAGCGTTTTCTCTGAACTTTCTGAACATGCATTTTGCACGTTCAGCAGCATGGTGGTCATGACCATGACCAAAGAAATCATGCTGATGATGATGCTTTTTGTGATTGTCACAGAAAACAACAACGCAAAGTACAGATGGCTTGGATCGGAGAGCTTCTCCTAGATCCGAAATCGATTTCAAGCATACAAGATCATCAGAATCATCAATATAACGAATGTTTTCATTAGAAATGTTACGCTCTTTCAACTCAATATTAAGTTTTTCGAATAAAGTTTCAACACTTGTATAAGGAAGAGAGAAACGATGAATAATTTGGTTGTTAAGAATCTTAAAAGTGAGAATATTCTCAACGCAATCGTTGTTCGAGGCCATTGGTGCAGGACGCAAGAATGAGCACTCTGCCTCCACTGCGTGTTTATATAGTAACGAGAAACTGATGCAGATGTATGATGAAATCGCCTTTTGGTCCAGTTCTTTGGTTCATCCAACATCTCCACCACTTTTTACTCGCTGTTTTTCACATCTTATTTTTTCTAATGTTACGAAATAGATCAACCTCATATTTCTTAGGATTTCATATAATTTTTCACATTATTTGAAACTCCTGCAGTTGGTCCCTCTCATATCTTCTCTCAGCAAACAAAAGATAGGGCGATAGATAGTAGGTGTCATGAGAACAAAAAAAAATCGAACAGTTTAAAGACTAGTTAGTGCTGTTCACTGAATCAGTTGCATTCAAATAAAAAATTTAAGAAGTTATCCTCAAGGAGTGACTAGAAGTAAGGAATCACAGCTCAAAACGCGTGAACCTTAATCACTCTTCTAACAACGACTTTGGCACAGTCATAAAGCATCAAAGTGCCAGTTGTTAACCGTTTTCCAATGTCATCATCTTCTCTAAGAAACAGAATGCTCTGTGAGAACAAGTTCAGAAGCCTGAAATATGAAAACAATTTCCAAGTCCTTCGTTCTTCACAATCTTTTGCAGGGGTGCACCAGCATTGTCTTCAACACCAAGATCAAAAATGAAATGCTCTTTTATTTTTCATATTTTCTCACTCTCGATGTTGAGATTGGATATGGAAAAAGAGGAAACGTATCTGCTTCTCTCAGTATACTAAAAGACAGAAGTGAACGTTCAAATATAGTTTCGAAACGCTCTTGTTTACTACATGCCGTCCACATATATTACCACACTGCCCATAGCATTTGTCTCCCCCCCCACACCCTTGTTCTCTGTACTCAACATCAATATCTCAAACGATATGAACCATTTCGGTCTCATCAATGACCACTGACGTCAAACTGACTGAACATACACATCGAAGAAATATGCTCGAGTGTGAAGATCAAGAAACTTCGATATAAGACAGAACTATATGAAACACAACCGCTCTCTCTCTCATCAATAAAAGAAAAACGAATACCAGAATGTAAACCATGTGAGAAAATATGAAAGCAGTAAAAAATCAAAATGTATTTAAAAGCATATTTTGGTAAAACATTTCCATCAGAGAATTATGTGAATATGAAATATTAAGTTATTATATCACAAGTTAGTCGTTCATTCTACAGTAACGGACTTGGCAAGATTTCTTGGGCGATCGACCTAAAAGTGAAATATAGCTTGGCTTCCAATAATGAACAAACGTTTAAGCCGTTCAATTCGGCGATGTGGAAAGAAAGAAGTTGCAGAGGGATCACGGAGAGAACGTTTTGGAGGCAATCAACAGTTTTGGGTACTCTAAGAATATGCTTCATACCAGCGAGGTCCTGGAAAGAATCGTAATGAGCATAAGAAAGATAATCATTTATACTTTCTCAGGGACTTCGTTGTCAGCAATGATGATTGGAGCTCCTCCACGGGCCATAACTTGTTGAAGAGCATTGAGAGATTTCTAAATTGATCATATAGATATCAAACGACTCGTAATCTAATACCTTATAAACAGAATCATTACAGATTACCATGCAAATACGCAATTTATCATCGACCATAGCCAAAGGTCCGTGCTTTAATTCTCCGGACATAATTCCCTCACAATGCATGTAGGACAGTTCCTTGATTTTCAAAGCACCTTCAAGGCAAGTGGCGAAGTTGAAACCGCGTCCCATAATAAGGAAAGATTTCTCTTGGTACACGTCTTTTGCGATTTGAAGAACATGATCGTCCAACTCGAGAACTTGGCGAATCAAATCTTAACAAACGTGAAACATGACGGAGGATTAGAAATAGTACCAGGTAAGATCATGAGTGCCTGGATGATTTCCTTTCTACGTTGAATAGCAGAGATTCTATCTTCGGATAAAACCAAAGCGAACATCAGAATGGCCAGAATTTGGGAAGTGTAAGCCTAAAAATATTGGATAATATATTTTCTGAAGTTTATAGCAAACCTTTGTGGATGCAACACCAATTTCTGGTCCAGCATTGATATGAACTCCACAGTGAGATTCACGGCAAATTGAAGATCCGACAGTGTTGGTGATTCCGATCAACAAAGCTCCTCTTGGCTTGCAGTATCTCAAAGCCATCAAAGTATCAGCGGTTTCTCCACTTTGAGAGATGAAGATACAAACATCATCTCTGAAGATTGGAGTCTGTCTATCGAGGAAATCAGAAGCTAATTCAAGAACAACAGGAAGCTCAGAGAGTTCTTCCAAAATCTGAAAAAAAAACAAATAGGAAATAACATTTTTAACGTGTTTACTTGTCTCGTAGCGATAGCAGAGTTGTAAGAGGTTCCACAGGCAACCATAATGACTCTGCGACATCTCTTGATATCTTGAACGTAATCTTTGATTCCACCAAGAACGATTTCCCCAGAAGGAAGAAGTCTTCCTCTCATGGTGTTGACAACAGAGTCAGGTTGCTCGAAGATTTCCTAAGATTCATAAGTTATAAGATTCAAAAAACATAAGCACACCTTTTGCATGAAAGTCTTGAAGTTACCTTTCATGATTTGTTGAAGTTCAAGATTAAGGTTTTGAACTTCACGAGTTTGGTCAGTATTGTCACTAGAGTTACGCTTGATGCGATGAATGGTGAGAGCTGAAGTGATTCATGACGTCTTCATAAAGGCCAATAGGTTTACCTCCATTTTCAACGAAAGCAACATCATCATCTTCTAAGAAAAGAACTTGCTTAGTATGCTCAATGATGGCAGAAGCATCAGAAGCAACGAAGTATTCAACTTCCCAATCGTTGATGCATGGCTGGCATTTAGAGGCGTTGGCACTGGCCAGAAGAGCACCTGATCGGATTCCTGTAACACAAAAATCAGACACATTAGTATTAATAAGCGCAGAATTGTTAGAATGAGAAGCTTTAGAGGGGAACTAATAGAACACACACGAATACCTAATTCATTGATGAACATTGTAATTTTCCTATCTGATTTAACGAATTTTTCATTGATATAAGTAAAAGAAAAACAAACCAGTAGATAAGTCCAAAACATTTGGAGTTTCAACAAAGGATTCCTCGCTGTTTTGACGTACTGAAATAAGACATTCATATGTACGTTTACTCTTGTAACATAGAAGAACACATGTTAGGATAAAACTCACAGTGAGTAGCTTGGGATGAAACTATACGACGAGCTAAAAGAACCCAATATTAGATCTACGGAAAATTAGTTGAACCAATAATAATAATGTTAGAAAGAGAGAGGGACGACAGTTAGTTAACACTAAAGAACATGCTTTCAACATACTATCGTCTAACTTGTGATCAGCTTCGGTCCAACGGAAATCTGCATCTGAATTTCATTTCGTTTCAGGCAAAGACATGCATAAATTTCGATGATACAGGCAAAAAGGAAAACATCTTTCAATCATGCAAACCGCACCTTTACTGAATGATACTGGGAATTGAGCAGCTTGCATGCGTGGAGAAGAACTCTTGATTCCAACAAGGAGTGGAGAACCACGACGAGTGGCAACTAGTTGTCCAGGGAACTTGCGAGACTTGAAAGCCAAAGCGAAAGCTCCTTCCTAAAAAACAGATGGAGATAGGAACAGAACAGTTTTCAAAAAGACTTACAAGTTGTTGGATAACAGCTTCTACTAATTGACGGAAAGAGAACTCTGGGAAGAGATTGTGCATGTGTTGGGTGAGTTTCGCAATAACTTCAGTGTCAGTCTCGGACTGTATCAAATGTTCCATAAAACACAAGGACCTGAACCAACCTCGAAAATATGTCCTTTCTTAACAAGATATTCCTTGATTTCACGGTAGTTAGTGATAATTCCATTGTGGACAACAACGAAATCTTCAGTACGAAGTAACTTTAGGCGTATGAAATCAAATGTTTACCGTTCTTATCATTACTTCTTTGTGGATGACTGTTAACGTCCTTTGGAGAACCATGGGTGGCCCATCTAGTATGAGCAATTCCACAGTGAATGTTGTATTCGAAATCCATGTCCAAAGTGCTTGCGGGGATTTCTAAACAACAAGTGAACTAGTGCTTTTCGTGGAGCTCACCTGCGACAGCATCTTTCAGATTGGCGACCTTTCCAACTTTTCTGAGAACATTAATGGTTCTGTGTGGGTCATCAACATCGTTTCCTCCATCAACAGCAACTCCTGAAACGAACGAATTAGTTATCAGCTCGACATCTATGGCAAACCGGCAGAGTCATATCCTCTGTATTCCATACGTTGGAGACCCTGGATCAGGATATCAACTATTTCACCTCTCTTTTTGGGTGTTAAGAAATTGAGATAAGCGAAAATTCCACACATACTGCTACGGCTAGCTGGAACAAGATCTGTTAAGTCGTCGAACTACACAGAGCTAATGACGGGAAGAAAGAGTTTTGACAGTTAGCTAGTTAGAGGTAGAGATATAATGAAAGAGTTGAACAGCACGTACTACCCAAGTTGTAGATCATTAACGACGTTTACAAACTATTAATACTTGGCAAGTTTATGAAGATAAAACCTCAAACTACATACAAAGGTTAGTATCAACAATAAGTTCCAAGAATGAAAGAAAGTATTTAAAATACAAACAGCGCGAACTGTTTGAAAACGGAATGAGAAATGGAGATCACACGAAAAGCTTTCGGTGTTGACCAAAACGGCGGCTATTCGAAAATTTAAGTGGTTAGCTTGACATAGCCACAAGAAAAGACAAATATACATAAAACTGTCTCGGAATGTGCAGAGTTTTTAAGGTGGAAACTAGAATTAAAACAGAACTAAAGTGAGCGAACTGTTCGCTGGGTTAGCTGATGAGATCAACAGATAGATGTCACATTACATTTGTGTGTTTTTTGTTTGACTTAAAAAATGTTATATAAATAGATTAAATAAGGTTTTAAAAAATCCAGTTACATGATGATGAATTATGATAAAGCAGCTATTCTGTACTCATTAATAACCGTCGCATGTACTTTAGTGCTGACAAATTGGCTTTTTTTTTTGTTTGAAAAAAATAAAAAAATGATGAGTGCGAAGAATTAAACTTTTTTTCACCTCAATAATCCAATAAATACCGTAATTGCTATCAACTGGATTCATAATTCTCCTTTGCATTCAAAAGTATAATGAACTGAGAATGGAGTATCAAGCGAAATTGTTAGCGTTTTATACCTATGATTATAATCATTGTCTTTGTGTCATATCAAGTTGTCAATGACGAATAGAAGGTTAACCGACAGATTCTTAGAAACTTGAAACAAGAAAAAAGCCGAAAATTACTTACAGGAACAGTAATTTAATGGAGCAAACATCTACTGAATTTTTTCAAAACGGACACACTTCCTTAACATCCCGCCAATAGGCAAGTTCAATGTGAAGTTCAACGTTTTTAATTCAAGTATACGTTCAAATTAATTAGTCAATCACGGAAGCAATGGGATAAAAAAAAAGGAAAGAAATTTGGCTAACAGCAATTTCCACACCTCTTCACATAAATTCTATCCTCTTTACCACATTCTATACGTTTCAAGTGGATTTTCATTGAAACAAGCTGTATGCATGCAACGTGGCTCAGACAAATCACATCGTTACATTTATCTATCTCAGTTTTAATTTAATTGTTCAATCAGTATTAATATGGAACAGGAAGAAGTGACATAAACAAGTATGGATTATTCAGTGATTTTCAAAATATCTACATATTGAACTTCTGCGTACGAACAACATAAAAACTGGCGGCATGTGAAAACTAAAGCTCAAACTATCGCGTGAATGTAAAGAGAAGAGATGTCCATGTCTCCATTGGCGAGATAGAAACACGAAGGTCAAATTCTAAAAAATTGACTGATTATAAGAAGAAAAACCTTTCATATTTTACACATTATCAATTTACATACTATTAAGAGATGCGCTGGCTTTCCACGTTTCAGCCTCACTCGAACACACATAAAAGCCGTTCACTTAACAAACGAAATATAAACACTCGAACTAATAAGTTCGCGGGAGCGAATGGAGTTCTTCCATTCATTAAGTCAAAACAACCGAATAACACGCGTCTATTTTAAATATATAGATTGTATTACACGTGGCGCTACGTGAGCCAAGGGTAAATATGCTAAATCCACGTCAGCGTCCGATATTCATCATTTCTTACTCTCTCAAACGCAAGATATCGTTATCAACAACCAGATTAGGTGAAATGGAAATGTTTAATCTATATATTTATGTACATTTTTTGAAATATGTATAATAGCTTCCCATCATTAATTATCTGAAACGTATACATAAGCCGAAGCTTAATAACAATGTTTAATACAATCTTTCCATTTATATTCTATTTAAATTGGAATGACGCAAATCGGTTCAGTGTTCAATGAAGTTGGGGGCGAAAAAAAAACCTTCGGCTTTTCTCATTGTTCCACATTTGCTATCTACCACTTGTGTCTTATATCACCAGCTATATATAGTCTTTCAAAGTCTTAGAATTTTTGTTCACACGTCTTTTAAGAATATTTTGGGGGGAAGAAGAACATCATGATCTTAGCAGTGACGAGGACGATTTCTGCCGTTATCATTTTCTTTTAGAATGCTAGTGTCTTCCAGTTTTTCTTGTAAAAGGTTGCTGTAAAGCCAAGATAGTATCTTCCCATTCCTTTTTTTAATCACACACACACAAAAATGTGATTGATTAGAAAACGGTGATCAGCATAGTATAATCATACTTGTTTTGAATAAGAGAGAGGAAACCCTCAGATTTTGAGGATGTAAATAACGGGAGAAAAATGTTTTCATCATTCTCTGCGTATCAAATATAGAAAAGAAATGTGTTATTCTGACATTATTATGGTCCTTTTTTTATTTTCATTGTACGATCGGTACCATATATCTCTCCCTTTTTCTCTCGCTCTATCCTCTGTGCCTCACAATCGCTTCATTTCCTTTGAACCTTTTCTTTCATTTGCATGTTAAGAGAGAAAGAGAAAGAGAGAGGCGAATCAAGTGTGTTGGCAATAAATCTTCAAGAGTAAGATCTTGCAGACCTCTTTTAACTAAACTTACGTACGCAAGATCAAAATTATTTTTGTAAAAATAGATTGTGACTAGTCCGGCAGTCATTAATATTCAATATTAAAGATAAAAACAACGAAGTTGGGAAGATTAAACGGGTTGTCTTGTCATTATGAATCGAAACGACAAAAAAAAACTTTGCGCCATCGCATCCTAAACATTAGCCTTAGAAGGAGAAGAAGTTTTTCTTGCAGAACACTTATTTAAACGAAAAAACTTTAGATTTATTATCCACCTCTGTACACATATTACCATTTCTTATGTGAAGATTATCTGATCTATATATTCCCTTTTCGCGCCAATTCAATGAAATATGCCAGTAAGGAGAGAGGGATGGATAAGATTATCAGTCCATGTGCAGTAAGAGCAACTCCGTTCCATCTTTCAATCACATTCATTCTCATTATGTCATTATACCCTTTTATTCCCTTCTGAAGAATATAAATATCTAGTTATATCGATATATTTGCCATATTAGACTGCTGAATACAGTAGGAAGTTATGTCGGCCAGGTTTGTTATGTACCTTGTTTGTACAATAAAAGATAAAAAAGTGTTTTTTATTCATTTTATTCCAATAGCATGTGAACATTCCTTTTCCTTCTAATTTTTTTTGATTTTTAGCATTTTCGCTACATTTTCGAAATTATTTTTCTTCAGAACCACTTGTTTGTCCCTTTTCATCATGTGTTTCTTTATATTTTCTATATTTGGCTGTGTTTGTCGGTAATTATACAACACTTATAACAAGGGTGAACTTTATCATTTTTCCTTTTTTTTTGTAAGCTAATTAGTGATTATATGCAGAAGTTGTCGTCGGGGACAGCGATCAACTCTTATCGAATAGCCACCAATTCTATTTTCAAATTTCATTCAACTTCTACGTTATCATTATATGAATGTGAGGTATGAAAATAAAGGTAGTTATGAGGAACAATAAGACTGCTAATGAATATATCAAGTAGTGTGATATAGTAAGAGGAGAGAGAAAGAGAGGGAAGAGAAGGCTAGTCTGATAGTAGTATTGAGAGTATTTTGGCTGGAGTAACAACGAATGAAAATTTTTTAAAACAAAATGGTTGAGATGCATTTTTTAAATTCTTCAAAAACAATGTGTCTTGGGAACAAATTGCAAATGTTTCATCTGACCAAATAGGGGATCGTATAGAAATTGAGACGATTTTTTTCATTTCAATGAACATGTTCTTGCGGATTCTAATATAATCGAAAAGATAAAGAGATGCTTTTGTATCGAATTTGCTCGAACAATAGCAAAGTCTAATTAGATGATATTTTGGAAATTTTAAGAAGCCTTTTGTATATAATTCGTTTGATTAAACTAATCTGTATTAAAATCTTCTTCCTATGATAGGCTTATCATTGGGAAGTTCAAAACAATGAAATCCTTCATCCGCTTCCGTCCTTCTCTGATTCACTTTATCTGTTCCGTGACATTTTGTCTATTATCCAATATTTTATTATTTTTCATCAGTTTCTCCTCTAAAAAAGTCTTCTTTCATTCTCTTCCAACCAGTTTATTCTCTTCATCATCACAATAGCCTCGGTTATCCTTGGTAGTATGGATAATGCATATGTGCAACCCGTGTTGTACATCGGTCTGCCGTCATCTTCCTACCACCCTCACCCTCCTCCCTCATTTTCTTTTTATCCACTACTCCTTTTCACCACTCTCATCTTTTATCTCTCAGTTTCGCTTTTCTTATATTGTTTCTCTTTTTCCTCCTTCTCTCCCGTTCCCTGTACCTCAATGCTGTCCTCTTTACATTTTGTCCACATTTTCTCCCCATCGTATGCCGTCTTTTCTTCCTCTACTGTTGCACACTTTTCTAAATTTCAACTTATTAGTTTCGTAGTTCAAAAAACGAATTTAAAATGAATGAACACTTTGTCTTCCAACCCACTTGTAACTATACATTCATAAAACACAATATTAGATTGAAGTGATTGACTTGTCACCGTGTCTGCTCTGTTTTCTTATGATAGAGGACAGTTGACCGTTGCCGGCGTTCGTTATAAGTTTACCTGAATATTTTATTATAAAACATGAATACATTTGAGTTTGCAAAAGAACACACTGACGTCCGTCCTGATATTTCCATCAAATTGCTTTCTCATATCATAACAAACTCCATGTATGTATGCAGAAACGTATGCGTATTCTTTTAACATTCCCATTAAACCCATTGTGCTTTGTGAGCAAAAGAAATTTTCTTTCCTGTGTTCGTCTTGTTTGTCCTCTTGATTAACTTTTCTGTTTTCACATTCAATTCACAGTTCTCACCCGTAGAAAAGCTTCATCTCCTTCTTTCGCTTTCCATCTTCTCTCTGCCAATGCCGTGTCCCTGAGTACGTAATTAGTTCTGTGTTTATAACAAAATACCATCCATCCAGCCATATGACTAAATCAAATGTTATTTCACGCTTTTCGACAGCCTAATTTCAATAAGAAACGGCTGAAAATACATTGTATATGCCTGAGGATACGCTTCTGCTCTGTTCATATTTATACAGCTTGAATTCTCAGATGATGGTGATGACAGCAGTACGGAACGGTCTGTAGATGGTTAAGTTCTTTTTATTTTCGACAAAAAGCTCTCAGTTTGTGTTCAATACAATCAGTCTGTTGACAAAACCTTTTCAAATCAGGGGAATCGTGTGCACATAACTGAAAGTCTTCTGTACAATATCGCTCTTAACTCATCCATGGACTATTCTGCCAATAAACGTGGACAATTGAGAATAATCAACAACGGTTTCATCCAAATACCAACCTTTAATTCCCATTTTAGGGTCATCGATAGGTTCTGCTGATAATCAATGCTTCTAGAATATTATCACAAGCAACCTAACAACAACTTTTTCTTTTCCTTTTTCTCATGTTAATTAATAGTTTTCGCTTTTTTTTTCTTTAGCAAACTGGCGTTAATTTCGTTTTCCCCTCCCACTCCTACTCATTCCTCCCCGCGTCGTGGCATATAATTTTCCGGACACTTTATGCTAAAACTGCTGTATCGTTTCAATAATCTTTTCCTACATTCATAGGTTTTCAATTTTGGGAAGTCTGTCGTTTCTAATTTCGGGGAATACCTCCAACCTGATCTGTTCCTCTCCACCAACGTTCTTCAATTTTGTGTGAAAGAGAAGGAAATTGAATGGAAAGAGATTTTGAAGACACAACATAATTGCGTTAATGTTTTTATTGGTTATCCTTGTCAGCGATGTTCGTTTACGTCATCGAGTGTACCGACAGAAATATGGCAATATTCGCCCGTTTCTGATTCGCCTCCATTATTATTTTCGTCTCTTTCTCTCAGCTTCAAACCATTTTAGTCGAAAAGTGTCGGCAGAACACCCTACGCCTACGGTGTTTCACGAAAAGACAAATATGGAATGCTTTAATCTAATTTAGGGAAGATGCTAACAGCAAGGTGTCCATCTTTCCTTTCGTATCTCATGCCTTGTAATTGACAGTATCTGTGTTGGTCCTTCTGCGTTCCCATTGAGACTTATTCGTTCCCATATTCATCGGCTTACAGCTTCCGACGAGGATCGTTTTGTGAACTGAACAGTTCACAAAGATCCTTTCATCCCCTTTCTCTCCTAGTGCCATGACCACAGGTGTCTTTTCTTGGTCTATGTCAAGTGGAGCTGGCCAATGTTTGCTCGAAGACTGGAAATGCATGAACGTTGCGCGTTTCATAGCATTTGGCTGCATCCGTTTTTCTTCCTTCTCTCTCACTTCGCATACAATTCGTCCATTTTGCAATTTGTTTCATTCCGTCCTCTCCCTTTTAGTTTCTTTTATCATTGCTTTTTTGAGGCTTCTGAGCTGATGTTTTGACTATCTGTTCCCTTTTTTCCCCTTACGCATGGCGAGACCATCTTCAAGTGCTTTCAATAGTTACCAGTTTAGTGTTTGCAAGTCGGCCAAACGAGAGGTGCAGCAGCATCATTTTCTTCTCTCCCGATTCTACTTGAAGTATAAATGGTCTTACCTTCTTCTCATGTTGTGTAACGTTATTGGCTCTCCTATTATCATCAACCTTCGATTATTGCTCGTAGCAAATAACCCATTTCCCATGTACTTTTGTGGAGAAGAACTGGAGGTTTTGGTCATTTATCTCATTTTATGTTTGTCATAAGGAACCAGTTCCTCCTCCTCCTGCAACGGGACTGTCTTTCCTTCAAGCTTCGAATTTCACTGAGCCTTATCTTCACAAATTAAATCACATGCGCTATTATCATAGTTTTCTTCTGTTCAGACAACATCAGGAGGCGCTCCATGACAAGTAGAAACACCAGAGTCGAATGTGTTTCCGCAGATATTTGTGGCGATTTCTACGATAGCGTCGAAAGCCTGTTTGTTTCTCTCTTTCTCTCTTTGCCCGATTCTTTCTCTTTTTCACCCTCCCAACCCTATATTATTCTAGTTGTCTTTCTGTATGTGTGTGTGTATGTATATGTGCATGTGTCTGTAATCATGAAGATGATTGGTATAGGCTACTTGTTCCCAGAATTTAGTGTATGTAGGTGCTTTTCCTTTTCATTCCATAGAACCATCTGACTCACAACTCTGCTTTCTTCTCAAAAAATACAGTCAGGAAGCAGTTTATATACAATTTCTCTTTTGTCCGCTTTTACCTTATCAGTTCTTTTCAGCGTTATAGACGGCGCTTCACATATTATAAAGATAGAGTAACAGAGAAAGAGAAATAAAATTGTCCCGATTTGTATTGCATCTTTATCCACTACATTCCTCGATCATCTCTCTTTATCTTTTTTCTCCCTCTGTATTTCTTTCTCTTCCCCTGTCTCTCTCCCTCTTAGTTCTTGGGCAGAAAGTCTGCGCGGTCAGACATCAGACACCATACCATGGTCAGAGACGCAGTGTTGGCTGTGGGCGCTCCACGCACTATGTATGCTCCCGCCCTCTTATTTCGTGTCTTCTCCACTACACTTTTTCATATTCTCTATATTTTAGATGTTAAAACGCTTTTTAAAATCTAATTTGAATAATTTCGCTTTTGAAAGTTACGAAGTAATTTCCGATGTGGCATATCATGACGTGATCGTAATCCTATGATTCTTTGAACTCGACATTATTTATGTTTTCAAATTTTTCTCGTGGCTGGTAAAACACAGGCAGCAGCTTCCGAGCGTTCTTCTGCATTTTCGCTTTTTCTAATATTTTTTCAAATCAATTATGTTTGGCAGTTTCTCACAGGTTCTAGAATAATCTAGATGGCTCAAACCTTCGCACGTGACTTATCATTACTTTGGGTGCTCAGCTGATATACCTGTGCTTGTTTCTCACATGTTTTTTCTCCTTAATTGTGTGGGAAGTTGTGGAAGAACAGCCCATTTGCCGATAATTTAGGGATTGAAAGCGTTTGGAATCCCGTTCTGTGAAATAGGATATGTCTATGCTAGTGATTGATTCCGGCGACCGATTTATATATTCGATTTGACAGTCTTTGAATACTAGTTTCGTACGTCTTTTCTTCGAAATGCCAACATTCCCGTCTTTAGTTATTCTAGCATTGGAGTTGTTATTATCATACATTGCTCGCTTGCAAGCTGAGGTTCTTCTCGAAAATACAGCATATGTCTGAGCGGAAAGATGTTTTTTTATCTTTCTAAGTCTTTTCTTCGGTGTTGCAACGGAGGAACGCACTTTCTTTAAGCTTTTCATAGTTTTTGAATCAATCCCCAACCAATTTCATCACTTCTAGCAATACAAGGCTTGTTTCACACATCGCACGACTTGAATGTCAAGCCTATTGCACAAGATTATGCCACAGCTTTTGCTGGTTTTGAAACAAACGTGAAGCTGGTAGATGTTTGACGTGTTTTTCCTTATTTTCAAATCCTTTCTGGGTAGTGGTTGTGTGTGTGCGTTTGCGACGCTGCTATTACTGCTGTTGGATGGTGAGCAAATTGCTTCTACTTTTTCTTTTCTTTTTCTTCACAAGTTGAATGTTTTTCTTGTCGTCTTCTATGATCTTATTGATTTGCCCGGACTGTTGCTGAGAGCGATGTTGACTGGAATTTACCAGGGGTTTTTCGTTAGGCCCAATATGGTTTGCAACACTTTTTCTCCTTCGCCAATCTTTTCGACATAGCATGTTATAAAGCATTGACGTCATGATTCATTTGCCAAACCCGTCTCGCATTAACTCCCTATGGTCATATTTGAGTAGTTCTTATAATTTTTGAAGATTTTACGAAGTTGTTGTTCGTTCGTCATAATATGCTTTAATAATCGACTTTTACCCAACGTCAGCAACAGATTACACCTGTTGATATCTCGGTGTTGTAGCTTTATCTTCCTCTGATTTCTCTTCTTTTCATTCATCTCCATCCTTTTACCCTTCTCCCAATCAGCTCGTATTAAGGTGCTAGTTATAGTTGTCAGTGAAAGAAAGAGGAATGAATAGTCGGGGAGGGGGGTGTTTCGTACGTTTGTCACTGTCATGTCTTGGGCGTCCATGTGTTGCTTGGCAGATTGATTTCAGAAGAGATCACGGGTTGTTTCATGACTACACTACTGAGTAGAACAGTTAAGTCAGCCAATCAGTAGTACCTCACGATCTCTATCCATCCGTTTTTGTTGGCCGTCACGTTTCCCTTTCGCTTCTCTCTTGCGCCAGCCCTGCTAATCGATCGATTATTTCGTTCCTCTATTATCAACTAGGCCCGTCACAGTATCGTTTACACTGCATGTCATGTGGTCTTATTTGGTAGTTATTCATCTTTTTGTAATTTCTAATAATCAGTAAAGCCTAAGCATGAAGTTTGTTCAATGTTCTATAAGCATATTTATTAATTTACAATTCGCGTTATATTTGATTTTACCATTTCAATTTTATTTCTGTCGTTTTCTTCGCCTTATCGCATAGCCCCGTTTTCCCGGATTGCGCAAGTTCTCTGGTCTTGTAATATAATTTCGTATTTGTATGATAATGTCATATTGATTCAATTATTTCTAATAATATTTCCAGCGGGAAGCATTGTAACATCACTAGGAGGGTAAGAGAGAAAGGATAAACAACTGGATCATTATTGTTTCTCTACTCTTCGTATAAGCAGTTTTCTTACATTATTATCATATGGCTTCACCACGCCATGACGGGTCGCCTGAACCTCCTTCTCTCGATGTCCACAGGTAAAACCATCCATCATCCGACGTCCATAAATCTTTCTTCCAGACTCGAGTCCTCGGGTACGGCTGATTCTGATTGCGTGGTGATGGTAAAACTTACTGATGAACTTTTTACCGCCCTCATAGCAGCGCAAAAAAGAAAAATCCCTCTGAGCATGCGAATCGAGGAAAAAGTAAGCTATCTTGATTCTTATAGCTTTCTAACTATGTTTCTTGCAGGGAGGTTCTTTTGTGATCGGTGATAACTCTGTTTTTTCATTCCAAAACCAACCAATACAAGGAGAGACTGACACAGTTTGTTTCGATCCTCGTCTGAATTGTCATCGTACTGTTGGGTCTTACCAATACAAGTATCAGGTATGGCATTGGGTTGTTTTTATTAGTTCAGTTCGACGATTGTTTACGATTTTCCTTTTACCTCATTATTTCTGTCAGTTGCCATTGAAAGTTGAAATGGGGAGTGAAAAGAGAAGTGAGAGGAAGGTTGATAGCAGTTTTGTTGTGACAAAAGTTAGTTTATTTCTTGAAATCCGGAAGTCTGAAGACTTTGGTATGATACGTGCTACTGAGACTGGTTTGTATCGAGTTTGTGACAGAACAGAAACTGATTATGTTCTAGACTATTGCTGAATATTTGCTCTGTTTCTTTACTTGCCAAAGAATACGTTATGTTTAAGTGTTAGCTGTAATACCAGAGACCGAGGATTGTGTTGGTGACCAGCATGACTCACCAAACTTAGCGAACCTATGAGTGAGATTGATGAGCGTAACAAGCATAGAGTAGGATGAGATCGTTACCTTCCCTTCCTAAAATTTATTTGTCATTTTCTAATGGGCTTTCGCAAAATCTTTGTTTTGCCAGCAGCTGTATTTGTGTCTCAAAAGCCAATAGTATATCTTTTTGAAAAACCGTTTATTTTCTTTCGCTAGCATGTCATCTAGAAGCTTCGATGTCATGATTTCAATTTTATGGCGACGTAATACTTTCTTAAGAATGTTCTCCCCATATTTATTTGCTTGCTCTTTTAATTGACAGGAATGACTTTGGTTTAATTATCCTTTTTTTAGGTGCAAGCTACTGACAAGACTTTCGCTGACACGCGAGAAAGGGCGCAAAAGTTGGCGGAAGAAGAGAATCGTAAAGGAGCAAAAGACGTTAATAAGTGAGTTCAAAGTGTTGGAAAGCCTTTAATTACTATTTTAAGACATGGTCGTAAACACCTTAGCGCTCCAAAATCGTCGCGAGTCGGGTCCGCGTCGTCTTCTCGTCATTCTTCTCCTCTCTTGTCTAAGGCTTCATCGGATCCTCAAAATCGAATTAGTCCCAATAAGGTAAGAGCTTTCTTTAGTTTCGCATTGTTCTTTTGTTGAAACTGTCGTCTACGGACATATAACACCAGCATTCCAAGTTCTATAATTCAATATTGTTCTTTCTATTTTGGTCTCAGCTTTTTTCTTCTGCATCAACGTCTCTCCATTTTGCGTATTGTTTTGCAAGTTTGCTCAGACAGATAAGGGTACGATGTGACCGGTTCTTCGTGCACAAAGTTTGCTTGAATGAGGAGATTGAAACTCAGAGATTTCCCTTTGAAATATTGATTCTTCTCATCGCTACGAGAGCGAAGATAAATGTTATGCAGTTAAGATCATTTTTTTCAGTTCAGCAATCCAACGGGTACCAATGGGCTGGCTCCATCGGCAAACAACGGTGAGTTATTTTGTCAACTTCTTTTGGGTACCATCTTTCGTTTTATGATAGATTTGGGGGGAAAGATTGCAAGTTTTTAGAAGAAGAACTGGGGTTGGATGTAATTGCTAACACTTTTTACCTTCAGCGCTATAACTTCAATTTTATCTCTTTGAGAACATTTCGTTTTTCCTTCTATTTTCGTTGGACTAGCGAATCGATTGAATGCTGCCTAGGGTTTTTCACTGTTGTCATTCACTATCTGCTTCAAGCTACTCAAAGACTTGAGCTATGCTTCTCTCGCTCGCTCATAAGTGACTTTCTGATACGAGAAGATTAGAACTAAACCGTTTTCTTTAATGACTCTAGTGAAAGTTTATGAAACAAGTATATGCAGGAGTTCTCTTTTATTGTATGATCATTGATTAGAATATGGGGGAAGGGTTGCCTGTCTGAGCGTGAAGAACGTACGTAACCGGTTCTTCTCTAAGATTAACAACCTCAGAGAAAGTTCGGTTTGCAATTCCTACATAGTTTCTTCAGAGAAAACTCTTGATATAAATCTTCAATTACAGGGTCTTCTCGTCCGATAACTCATCCTCTGGCTGCTGAGCTGCGGAAGAAGAAGTTACGGCCTCGAATTGTTCATTTAGTTGTGACATGTCGTTACTCAAGTTGTGAAGAGGTGACCCTATTGATAGTTTTCTTCATTACCTCCTCGTCTGCAGATTCATAAAAAGTTACGGAAGGATGGTCTCAGTGAGGAGTTCGACGATGCTCGCAAGATTGAGGAGATTGTTCGCGAGGTAGCCGAGAGATCTGAAAGTGGAAAATACATTCTCAAACCAGCTCTTAATAGTGAAGTAAGCAGACTGTTCTGGAGTATTTATGTTAATGTGCTTCTTTTTCAAGGTTGATTCTCGATGGCCATGGTTTACTCATGAAGAGAAAGCTTATGTTCGAAAAGTTCTCTCCTCATCAACTCAGCAGTTCTTAGCTAGTTCTTCGTTTGCCCCTATGAGAAAAAGCGGTATGGAGAGAATGCAAGCTCCTTCTGCTTCTATTACTCAAAATATCAGTCCTGAAGGTTTGATCTTTGAGTATAACGCTTATAATGAATGTTCTATAGCTATTCCGACACCACCAACTAGTCGACCATCATCAGGTGGTCCTCCCAAGACCAAAACAGTTTCTCCTGTTGCACAAACAAGGCCAAGCCCGGCTGTGACGCCAGCGTGAGTATTGAAATCAAAATATTATTAATTGAATATACTTTCTAGTCATGAAGAAATTGTTGAGGAATCAGTGGCGGGGTCTAGTTCTAAAAGAAAAGCTCATGTTCCTTCTTCGCATCATGTTGATAAACGACCTCGGCAAGATAGTTCTAGTCCTCCAGAAGATCCTCGTAGCAATCAGCCTAGTCACAAAGAGGTTTATAAATAGTCTTGATCATTGAAAAGTAATTTCCGTATATAGAAGCTAATGGCTGCTCGTGCTAGTGGGAGCACAACGTCATCACGTCTCTCGTCACCCTGTAGTTTGTCTTCTCCTAGTCAGCCTTCCTGTGATTGGGAAAAAACTTTTCCTGAGGTAGTGAATGTTAAATCTCGTGATTAAAGGGGGATATTCAGATCAAAGACGCTCGGGATGCTGAAAAGTATTTTTCTCTCTATCATAGTGATTATCCTATTTATATGAGTTGTTATAAGCAATTGAATAAGGTTGGTTCCAAAGCTTATATTAGCTCATCGGTTTTCGTTTCTCAGGTTGCTATGGAGTTTAAAGATTTAGAAGATCAATTGAAAAATGTTGTTCGTGTTCAACGCGAGAGCTCAAAGGTAAAAGAGTACTTCGATGTGTTCAAACGGTTACCGTTTTTCAGATCGAACGATCCATTCAAGAAAGATTCTCTCAGTTTGAAAAAGACGAAGAATTTTTAAGAGTACGTTATATTGTTTATTTTATGTGTCTCGAGAGTTTTTGCAATCTCATCAGGGGCAACTTGGGTTCACTTCTTTTGCTTATTTGGGGATTTTACAGTGTCGTCAACGTCATGCTGATCTACGTTCCAAGCTTTCTGTTTTGAAACAGAGAATTTCGGACTGGGAGCGCCAACAAGAAAATTCTCCTTGTGTCCTATAATCCTTGTTGCTGATATATTGTGATATCTGTAGCAGAACAGTTCTTATAGAGCTGCAGAAGTTTAGATTGGTTTTATCTGATTTGTTCCCTAGTAGTTGCCTTGTTTGGTTTTCCTTCCTGGTGCGCGATTCGAGTATTACCGCCTTGTGGTTTATTCAGCTTATTTTGTTTCCTAAGCCACAGTTTATCATGTCATTCGCACTTAAGTCAATTACTGTTCTTTGGTATGCCTTTTCTATAGATAGATTTCACGGGTGATAAAAGCTGTATTTATTGTAAGAAAATTCCAAAAAGTTGTAGATTGTCATGTGAAAAGCCATGTGCGTTATTGGTTCTGATTCGAATGGGTTGTGTCTTCTTCCCTCTTTTTTTTTGTCTCTCCGGTGCCCGATTCTTACCCGTTTCTTAAATATTTCTCGTATTTTGGCAGGATTCTTATTGCTAGGGTCTCTTAGAGAGATGTAGACAGAGAAATATTAAAGGAGAGTGGTATTTAGAGGGAAGTTGTTTCAACACAATCTACTTTGGTACTACTTCTTATCCTATATTGCGGTGTACTCTATTATATCAATTATTCTTTCCACTCTCTTTCCTTTCTCTCTCTCACTCTTAGGTATGTTAATTATGGTGCCTTGCTCTCTCTCCCTCTCTCTTCTCTTATATCATTTATATTAGTTGTTGAATAGTTATATAGCAGAATATCATCAGTTCAGCCTTAGGCTTTGCCACTCTTTCCTGGGCTTGTTGAGTGCCATGATGCAAACGTCGTAGTTAAATTGTTGTTCTTATGACCCAGTTTCAATCTCCTGCCCACTCCATCAATCAGCACAGCCCTCACAAGCCAATAAATCGGTTCTGACCAAATAACTCTTTGTTTTGCCTGAAAAATCTGGTGTTCTGTAATAATTGTCATGACAAATAGATTGTTGCATGAAATACACAAGAGTTTACATATCATTTAGTTTCCAGTAGATATGAAATATAGATAAACGTTATTACAATTGGTTCAACGTTTTTATACGAATTATGCTTATAAAGTTTATTTTCATACGTTTCTTCGTTTTATTTTGCTGCGGATGAGCTTGTCTGTCTTGTGTTCATCGCTGTTCCGTTTTATAACGTTTTCTCGTTATAATTTTCCTCATATCTCTCCTCTCACTTCTCTTTCTCTATGGTTCTCTCACATTTCTCTCTGTATGTTTCTGAGAACGATTTTGTGTGCATTGGTCATGGTATACCACACAATTAGCAATCGCCGTCCTCGACTGTCTACTAACAGCGAGAGGTGAGGGGAGGAAAGATGAGCAATGGGAAAGACATTGCAAGAAATTTTTATAACTTTTGTCTTTTATACTCTTTTAGGGCTTGAACAGCTCGTAAGCAATAATGCTGCCTCAGCTGTAGTGAGCAAATACAAATGACTTCCACATTCTAAAAAAAAATAACAGACAAAAGGAAAGGATTGATTGCAAACGAATTTTTTTTGGGAATGATTACTTTTTTTTTGCAAGTAGAGTTACTTTGTTCATCAGAGTACATTATGGAAAGGACAGCTCCCCACGTAATGCATGGATTTGTCGATGACAGGGGTTTCAATCAAGTTATTTCTATTCAGAAAGGAACAATACGGTTGAACATATAGATTTTAATATCCAAAAAGATAAAATGTATCGATTCGATTGAACTTCAATATGTTTCTCATCAATTAGTCCGTTTATATTTATAATGAATCAGCTGTAGTGTTCTGTTCGCAAAAGAATCTGCCGGTATGATGAAGAAATCGAAAGACGAGAAAAGAAAAAGAAAGATAGATCAGAAGTCATTCGTTATGAGAATGATAAGACGCAATCAGTATGTATTTTGTCTGTCTGTGTGTATGTGAGTGTGTGTTGAGGGAATAAGAGAGAGGAATGAAAAGAGAGAAGGGGAATGCTAGTCGTGTGCGCCTTTGCTACTCACACTTGAATCATCTAGTCACCTGCTTCAGGCCATTTATTCAATTAAAAATTCGCCAAAATGATTGGAAAATGTGAAAGAAAGGTGAAAGAAGAATAAGAAGAAATATAAAGGATGCAACAAGTAGTTGCATTCATTCAGGAGCATCATGACGTTACTGTCAAAAGTCTTGTCAAAAACTTTCTTCGCCAAGTTGAAAACAAAAAAAACTTGAATTGTCAAATTGGTTTGTCAGGGGCTAAAATTCAAATTTCCTTTAATGATTGTGTTTAAGCGAGTCATTAATGATCCAATAAGTCGTTGAGCAGTCTCCTCCATTCAACGCGTTCCTCAACTGTTTGAGAGGGCTTTGCACCTGGTTGTGCAATAGATTTCAGCGAACGAACTGTTTCATAAAAAGTTGCTCATTTCTTTCAAATAATTAACAGAAAAACATAGAGAGAGAGAGTCGCAAAAACAAAAAAGATTGAAAATATAAAAACTTTGTAACAACTTTATCTTGTATTTTGAACAAACGAATTCTATTTTTTCTCCGATTTAATCCTTTATCTTTCTTGATGTTTCTATCTTTCCTCGTATCTTTTGTGTATGTAGAGAGTCTAGTTGTCTAGTTTCTCACTCTGACTGACTGGTTGAAACCTGAGGGGCTAAGTTCTTTCCGAAAAAAAAAACTTTTTTTCTTTCATCCATCATTTGCCACACATCGGCTGTTAATATGACTATCGTTAATCCATAATTGTAGTGTGTAACTCTCTCTAGACGACGAAACTGTTCGAAGGGAAGGGGTCAAAGCGATGATGCGTTAGTTATCCTTTTTTTTGTGTTTCAATTCGGCTTATAAACCAGATGCTGTTGACGGAGTTTTTTGAGGAATTCTAAGCATTCCTAACAAAATGTGATTTAGGGAGGTGGGGGGAGAGTAGAAGCTTGTATTAAATAAAACATTTTCAATCAGCTAAACACAGGTTTTCTATATCACATAAATCTTAACATCATTAATTTGATAATGTTGCTTCCAAAGTTCCTTGTGTGTGTGAGATACTGAATACCTCTGCTGATTAGAGAAATGACATGAAATTTTTGAATAATATTTGAAATTTTTCAAAATATATCAGCTTCTCACATAAGAAAAGCTGATATGAAAAGGTCATGTTCTGGTAATCTAATCAGCTTTTCAGCTATTTTCCGTTTCTAACTCTTTTAATCAGAAAACACATTCACGTCATATTCTTTCCCGTACTTCAGCTGCAGCATTTGCCCATCAAAACCTATTTAGATCTATTTATACGCTTCAAGAGTTGTTGAGCCCTTTTTCCTTCCTTTTTTTATTCACAAAAGGCGAAATGTTGTCGGAAAGCCAGCACCAGAATTCATTATGTCATTATAGTCTATTCCGAGAAAAAGTATAACGAAATGAGTGAGAAAATAAATTACAAGGAGAGAAAAAAGAAAAAATGGGCGTAAACGTATTGTAATTCTCAAGAAAAAAAAGTTTCGAAGAACAACCGCTCTGATCGCTTGCATGAAATGAAAATGAGAATGATTCTCACGTGATTACGAAGCAGTTCCGATACGAATTATGCAAATTCATATATATAATTAGGTGTTATCATATTCTTATCTAAATCAACGAAATAATACAGAAAGTACTTCTGAATGTTTTCGCTCTTATGATGACGACGGTGTCATACAAAGTTATAAACAAGAAATTAAATATTCTTTTTCAGTTTCTCTCATTTATTTTTTTTTTCAATTTTTCAAATGCTGTTTAGAATATGGAGGGACCGATTGACAATAATAATATTATTATTATAAATACAAAGTTGTAGTTTAATAGAACAGGGTCTTTCATAGATGATAGTTTGATCATTCTATTCTTTCAGTACTCAGAACAAGTGAAGAAATGAAGAAAAGACGACAGAAAAAGAGATATGGATGACAGAAAGAGAAAAAAAAACGAGAGAAAGGCTGAAGAATTTTAAAGAGAAAGAGGAACGAGGGAAACTCAATCACGAACACACCATGACCTAAAAGATCTCATGAATGAACAGCATATTCGATGACTATCATCATGTTTATGAAAATAAAAATTAAAAAATAAATTATAATAACTATATGTTTTATCAGTTTAAGTGCCTTTTATAGTTTATAAAATGGTTTTTCTATCAAGCAATGGATCGAAGATTTCTGTGATTTGCCTTTCGACACGTAGCAACTCGCTATCGTTCTCATCATTCTCCCGATTCTGACAACAGTCTTCTTAGCTTTAGTTGGTTTTTCAGATTTTAAGAGAGGGGGGTTTTCTGCCTTCTTTCGCATTGAAAAGAAAATGATCAGTGAGAGAGGGGGGGACCTGGTAAAGACGATAAAAGACATTTGATAATTAGGTTTTCGAAACAAATAACAAAAATATATTTGCTTATTCTCTTTATAAGATGAGGACAAGATGAGGTGAACCGAAGAAAATATGTGAACAACTTTTATTTTCGCATTCAAGTAAATGGTTCAATTAACGCAATGAAACACGCAGAAGAAGGTTGAGATGAAAATATTTTTTTGCTCTCAACTCGCATTATAATCCTTCTTTCTGCCATTATTAATGTTGTTTGAAAAAGAAATAGCTGTTGTTTGAAGCATCTTCTTAAGCCTATCAATTTCATTGCCATTTCAGCTTTGTTCGATAACGACAAAATCGGATTAAAAGAATATGAAAAGAAAGAGAAAGAGGGGATGACCATCTTTGGCTGTTGCTGGTTATCTCGTTTTCCCGAAAAGGCCATATATCTGTTTTCGTTCATCGTCTTTTCTTTTCGTATGGCGTCAACACACATATAAGCCAGTAGATCAAAGAGGAAATGATGAACGTTTCAACCATCTCATATCTACGATTTTGAAAGGGATGAACAATCAAATCGTTTTTTCTTCTTTCATCATAATACAGATTTCATTTTTCTTTTTTTCTTCTTCAAAGAATCCAAAAGAACAAAAAATCGAAGTTATCATCGTCAGCGTCACCACTCACAACTCAGTTCCATTGTTCAATCGTTCAATGATTTTACTCGCTGCTTCAAAATCATGTAAGCTTACGGAAACTTATAAGAGATCGCAGAGAAACTCCAATGAAAAGTCGAAAAATGGAATAAGAGATTCTTCTTCTCAGTTTCTCTAGACTACCTCTCTGTTCTCTTATTGTCTCTCATCCTCTCCCTCATTCTCTTTTTTCGTTTTTTGCTCTCTAAAAAAGACTAATGTACACAAAACTATCAAAAAAAGGAATGGGGAAACGCTCTCCTCAGCATCAAAGTGCAAACGGGTTCATTCAGCTTACCGTCGGAGCCTTCAGTGAAATACTTGACTCATCACAATATTTTCAATGAACAAATCGTTCTTTCATTATAAACATCAAAAACGAGCTTTGAGATGAACGCAGATTGATGGCTGATGTAAATCAAATAAGTTATGATTAACACCATTGAGATGAGAAACAAAAAATATGGAATTCATACCATTATCTCTGATTTATTGTCTTACGATTTGACTCTTCTCGTTTCATCTTCTCTCCTCCGTACAGTCCGTATTGAGAATTGAAAGAACAAAAGTTCAGAAAGTTTGGGGAACGATTCTTTGCAGAATTTTTGTAAAAAAAAAAAAGAAAAATACGAAACGTATTCCTTTGAAACCGAGGGAACATCAATTGAAGTATTTCTTCATCAGCTTCCAACCATTAGTATTGACTATCTAATTACACTGAGCTTCATCCTTCTCTTTCTCTCTCTCCCTCTCTCAATCTTTTTATTAAAATGTGCCAATTTCTCAATAAGTTGTATTGTCTGATCAACGATCATAACCACGTAAGTTAAGAACAAACTACGAAACACTCACAGATGCGTTCACAAGGGATTTATTAATTTAAAACTTTGCAAAAAAAAAAACGAAAAATCTTGTTGGATTATGGAGAAGATTTGATTAGATCAGATTCTAGGAACATTAGCAAATTCCAATTGTTCCAGGAAAAAAGATTTGTAAACCAGACTGCCATTTCGTTTCCTGAATTGGACTGCGAGGGAAATGCCCAAATATATTTCGGACAAAATAAGCTTTTATCTTTTGTCTTCCATCATAAACAAGACAATCGGTAGTGGAATCTGTGCTTTTGTAAAGACGGAAGCGGTTTTAGGTGATTTTCACATTATTCTTCCTCAACTACAGTGATTGTGAAGAAAAAGAAATATACGGTGTTTGTTGGTTGCAGATGCGAATTGAATGCCTTCAAAAAGGAATTAATCCTCTCTTCCCACTTGTTGCTCTCACCATAATAGCTGAAGCTCATCATGAAGGATGGCAGATATTTGATTTATCGAATTGCATCAAACTGATGAAAGAAAATGTTTGGAAGATTGAAGAAGAAGGACAATTTCAAACCGATGACGATAATGATGGGCAGTGTGACGGCAGGTGATCGTGATCGACATCAACTTGAAATATCGTTAACAAGATGGAGAAAGGGATTTTCATCTTAGGTCATGTCATGTAAGGTAAGAGAAAGAGAGAATGTGAGAGAAAATACTTTTTATCATAACGAACGATCTGTCACAGGAATCTGGTTAGTTAATGAACTGTTTGACAACTTATTTGTTAATTTTACAAAAAAAAAGTTTTTTTTTCAAATCCTCCAAGGAGATATAGAGTGATAGCAATCAGTGTGACCTCGTATCCGAAGCCTTCTCATAATATTTTGATCGAAAATGTTTTTGAATAGAAAACAATCAAGGGGGATCTATCGCTGATGTCCTGAACCACCAACAAAGGTCTTCGTCTTCCGAAAAATTCAAACGACAATTTTTCATGATTTTTACTTCCGCTTGTGAGACAGACTACCATCTCCACTCCATCTTATCAACAGAAACCTATTTTATGACTTTTATCTGCACAGATTCTTACTCGGAAAAACAAATAAAAATAAAAGTTTTCAGTATTTGTTTATTGCATTCAATACTAACAATGAAAACTCAAGTTTTCTGCTTCTTTTTTTTCCGTCCAAGTTGTACGAAAGCCATAGGGTTAAACGCCAAGAATAAAGGTGATTATGAAGCTACCCAATAAGGAACAAGGTTGACAAGACAACTTTAAAAGAAACCTGTTCACGTGCTTATTCGGCAAAATGACTTGGTCGTTGTCTTGATAGGTCTGCTTTCGGGTTGAACTATACGTACAACAATATCAGAAAAAGGAAAATGAACTTGAGGGTCTGACGAACAATATGGAAAAAAAAAAATTTTATTTCGGTCATGGCTTTACATTACCAACCTTATTATAAATCTTCTTCAACCTATTTGTATAATTCTAGTATGGCGAGAGTAAAGATCGGAGCGGGTGAGAGGGATGTAGTTTGTTGTTTGTTGTTAAAGACATGGATACCGTATATATCTTGAGAACATACGAGAATATTTCATTGGCAGAGAGCCATCGTTTTCATCACCTACCGTCAGTCATATGACCTCCGAATGTAAAATATGCTCTCAGATAGGAACTGTTTATTGCATAGTGGGAAAATTTGTTTTCATAGGAAAAAAAAAGATGTTAGTCTTATGAGGGAGAGAATTCAGTGAGATAAGTGGAAAAAAGGAAAAAAACAGAAGGAAAACCATTGTATAGCTCTGACCACACCCGAAAAGAAACATCGCAGAAGAGAGCAAATACTGACCATTCCCAATGTTATTTATAGTTTGCTATTTCAAACTACAATGACACTGTTAAAAAAAATGGATGAGCGAGAGAGCTAATGCACACAATACATAAAACATTTATTATTAATCTTTATTATTATTATGTACAGAAAATGGCAATGGTACCCAGACTTAGACCTCGTTGAGCTTCGATTTCAATAACTGATATCCAATCTATTATCTTTTTGTTTCATTTTTTTTGAAAAGCTTCGATGTATTTGGTAATGAAGCTTTGAGATCACGTATGCATTTGTCAATATCGAGCTGTGTAAAGGATATCCTTGATGATAATCCCACATTACCTTCTCCTTAATAGTTTTACTTGGATTATGAGTTCTTGGGAAGTTCTTACCTATGTCTAGTTTTATCTGATTGGGATCAACACCACATGCTTTCGATATCCGAACTCCTTTTCCATACGATAGCTCTTCAATGGCGTTCTTAATTTCTGGCCATAACATGTCCATAATCATGCCTGAGTATAACTTTGCGTATTAGCTCTCTAATAGTTCGTACCTCTCATCAAGTCTTGCATGAACAGTCCCCAGTTCTTTGGAAAAGCTCCAGCTTCCATTTGAATATTTGTATCTAACAGTTGTACCAAAGTTCTTGAAGGAACAATGGTTTTTGGAAAATTATAAAGATGCATACCTTAGTGTTCCTTCATCGAAGGATGGACGAATTTCCGCTACTATGGTTAATATGAATGAAACGAACACCGAAGTAACATTGCGCTGGGGATTTACAACTTGTAAGTGGACACGATCTCTCCTGTAAAGAGAATTAAGTTGATGTTCGTAACAGCAGTTTCGCCATACTTTTCAAGAACGAGAGAATCGTTGGTAGCTGAAACTGTTGGTTGTCCACGAGCAGCAACGTTTACTTGGAAGAAGCATTGAGAGCACAGGGTAGATAGGAACTCTCTGTAATATTGATAACTCAAAACTGTAACACTTTGATTGGCCGTACCTGGAATCTGGGGGGATAACGGGGCTTGAGACAGGGATCTGCTCATTCATCCATTCGAAATTCCAGTCAACCTTAGCATTACATGTTTACGTGTTCATGTATGTTTCAAAGTTTACTTGTGAAATTAGTGAATTGATAAGTGAATCTTCTAACCAAACTGTCACACGATCTTCTTCATTGATTTCCATATCCAGAAACGTTGTATTGTAACTAAGATTAGAATCCAACAGGTCTTCCACCTTATTTTCCATCTGTAAACAGATAGCTATCTTCAACTTTTTATAATTTTATGTACAATATCTGTCCATTCTAATTGTAATAATACTTTCATTTGATGATCTTCAATGCGAATGTTTTTCAATCTGTAACACAAACAGATCAGTTAAGCTTTCAAATGAGTATCGTTACCGGTAGAAGAGCGTCGTATTGTCCGTCGCCAAATATTTTCGAGTTTTTTCCGGAATCAAATCATACACGGGGAATCGTCTGTAGTTATATCAGTTATGAATCATGGTTTTTTCAATGTGAATATGGTCTTAGAAAAAAATTTCGAAATTACTCAAAACAACCCTAGCATGGGCCGTGTCCTTGACCGAAATAAAATATTTTGAGGCAAGAATCGGTGTTGGTTAGCTCAGGCTTTTTACGATTAAGGGAAGAAAAACATTATTATAACCTTATGTCATTATAAGTTATCCCAGCTACTTCTCCAGCAATGATACTACAAAGAGTGCGATCCAAGATGGGCGAGAATAATGAGGATAATAATGAGATTCCCTTGAATACACGTGATGTTGTATATCATGACGTTTCTATTTTTACCTTATCCGCTATCCAATGATCATGTACATGAGCCTTCATGTAAGCATTCTTCATATTACATTCATTAAGTTCTATATTTTTCTCATCCACATGAATCAATAGTTCACTTCGATCAATCTTGAGTAAACTTCTATCTTTGTACTATATAGTGCCACATACCTGCAAATGTACATCGAGAGTGTTCTCTCCTAATCCAAGGGGCCAAAGTATGTCTGATATTTCTGTTTCGGTTCTAACGTACAAACTGAATATATTAAATATACAATGTTCCACAAGACATTTGACTGACTCATCGACTATCAAATGAATTTTTTCTTCTTTGAAGTTCATAGACAGATTTCGATACTTCACTCGGTTCAAAACATCCAATGTTGCTAACTGATTCAGTTCAGGATCATCTTTCGTTTTTAATAATACCTGAAAACTATATTTGTTAAAATGCAATGATTCTGTTATTCTTTCATAGTTTGAGGCGCCAAAAAAAAAGAAATGAAAAACAAGTTTGTTTTTCTCGTGAACTCCACGTGAAGTGTCCACGGTAAAACGTGGACTGACCATGTTGTTTTTGTACGTGAACCACTCACGTACACTTTTTACGTGAAAGTTCCACGTTGCACTTCATTCATTAATCTATGAGTTTATTTTGTTCATTTAGCAGATCAATGAGCGGTTGTGCATCAGTTTAACCTTCCCAATTAGTAACGAAGATATCATAGATGATTTCAAACTTAATGAAGTTAGAAGCTGTTCATGTAAAAGTCAATCAACGATTATTCAATGAATTGGTTAGATCGATAACTGGTTTTACTCGCATTCTCCTTCTTTTCGTCATTTCTTCTCTTCTTCATCTATTCATCTTAACTGTCTTTCCTCATTCGTCATTGGAATAACTTTTGTTTAACAAATTTCATTTTACCATTCAAAACAAAATAGATAGTAAGAATAACACCAATTTTCATGAGAAGAAAGCAACTTACTTGAAATATTCGAGGCTCAGCAAGGAATTTATCGAAGGAATGCCGTAAAACCTGCGAGATAGCAGAATCACCAATCGATGTCTCGATAGAGGAACATGAGATCAAAGATATAATGGGAATGAAAGGTATCAGCAAATTATATATATTCATCTCTAAAATATAATAGATATATGGAAATTCATTTAATCAATAAAAAAGGAAAATCAAAAGAAGAATAAGAAATTTCAATTATAAACGTTTAACTCGCAAGGAACAGAAGTGGAAACTAAGGTTATGCGGGAAAACTGAGGAAATGAAAAATAATTTTCAATAAAATAACATGAGGAACACAAACACGATAGAAAACGATGAGACAGTTGAAGACGGTAGTCAAAACGATCAGTCCAGTTCTTCTCTCTAGCCTGAGGTATAACGAGAGAGAAACAGAGGTCGGAGAGGTCTTAATAGGCTGTGAAGAGTTAGAAAAGAGGCAAAAAGGGGAGGAATTAACCATAGGTGAATGCAAGACCTTCGAGGACACAGGAAGGCCGATCGAACTGACTGACTGATTGGATGGAGGACAACGACGTTCCAAAGAGGTCCGGCTGGCTGACTGGAAGACGTCTTTGGCTGGGCGGAGACGACGTCAGCCATCGCTTGTCCTTCGTGTTGGTGATGGTTGGCCTGGTCAAGCAAGGCAAATGACGACGATTACGAAGAAGACAACCACGATGACGATGAACAATGCGATAGTCGGCTCCCGAATGATTTAACTTTTTATCTTTCATCTTTCCTTTTCTCCCAAATCCGTATTTCTCTGTTGTCTCTCAATTCTCTTCAATTTATAAATATGAAGGATGGATCTCTTGAAACTTTCCATTTTGTTCTTCTGTCATGGTCAGCGCCGAATTAAATATTTTCCGTGTTATCAGATATTAACATTTCGCTTTTGATGCCAATTATGTGTTCTTTTAAACTTACTGCATGCATATCTCAGTGATACCGCATTCGTTTCAGCTTTTCAAGGAGATCAGAGACTTGAGAGTTACCTTCATAGGTTTCTTCTGCTTCAATCGAAAAGATGACACTAACTCGTATTCTATTGTTTTCTATGGTGTTTGTATTGGATAGTCAGGCCTTAGACTTCCATCCACTTCTAGCAACGGCACCCATGCTTCCGGGAGTTCGTGTCAGGCTCCAACAACGTGGAATCACATACTTAACTCAGGTAAATTACTATCCTTACTACCTCATACTCTATAGCATCATGACGTTGAAGTGTAACCGAAACGATCGTTTGGAAATAGAATACAAAAGTATAAATCCTTCTATCCTTTGGCAACAAGATGTTTTCCTAATGTCCAGTTTTCTTTGTTTTATGGCTTCCTAAAGACTAATCCAGTTTGTATAATTCGAACATTTCTGATCAAAAAAAGTAACTTTTTGACCTTTATTAGGCCAATAAGTATCTGAAATGGTTACAAATCCAGAATATCCACATGTTCTTACAAATAAGCATATTGGATGTAAATTTTTTTGTTTTCATCTAAATAGCTATCTATCCGGTTTATTTGATTATCGAGGTGTTTCCTTCATGAGATTATCACCTTATTTACTTGTTTCTACAGGTTTTCTCAAACATATTGGCTGATCAATTACCACGATTACTTATTCCGGATGTAGAACAGAAGCTTAACAATCACCAAGGTGTTATCAGAATATCTCGAATACGAATCTCTAGGTTTCCGTTGATACGTATTATCATATCACCTTGTTGGAATTCAGATTCCGTCGAGCAGAAATTCAGTCGTTGACTCCCTCATCACCTAATAGAATATCATGGACGATGAGTAATTTAGACTTAGGGTATGAACGAGTAGGAAGAGAGTGCCACATCAATTGTTAAGATTGATGGGAGATTTATCAGGAAACGTGAATATTGTTCTTCCCTTCAATCTCACGGGACAGGCAGAAGTCATTGCAGAAGGCCTAACTTTCCATTTGGACAGCTCTGTAAGTAACATCTGAACTTCAAACATGAAAATCTTTTTAAAGATGGAGAAATCTCTGAATGGATCAGCACATATTCAAACGTTGTCTTGTATGGCTACCATCCGTAATGTTCAGGTAATTAACCATAATGGTGGATTGTTTGGTTTGGCTGTGACTGTTTTCAAGGTATTCGAAAGTAAATCTTCTTTTCAATGTTTTTTTTTTCAAGCAAGGAGTTTCCGATAATGTCCGACAACTTCTACAGGGTTTAATATGCAAGAAGGTATACATACAGCCCATTATGTTCTTTAGAGGAAATTAAGGTCCGAAAATACTTGGATGAAGATCTCAACTCGAAGCTGAGTGAAGTCCAGAGCAAATCTCGATTGTCTGAAGCTGTGGAATCGAACGCAATTCGTGCCATTCCAACGGTGAATGGGAAAAAAATTAATATCATGAACTTGTTTGGAAAGGTTTTTCTTTGAGTTTTTAATCGATTTCGTCTAATCTGCACTTTTGAAGGATTTATCGAAAGACTTCCTTATCGACTTCCGGTAATGGTGTAGTTTGAAACTTCATTATCGACCGATTGCTTTAGACTGAAAGATAGTCCTATATGTGACGCTAACAGCATCGAAGTATCTTCACTGGGAGAAATATCTTTAAATGGCATGGGTGGAACTCCATTTGGTCCTGCAATTATGAATTGGCCTCCCATAAGTCAGCAGAATGATGATTACATGCTTCAACTGCTCATATCGGATTACCTAGCAAATTCACTGTTTTATCATGCATATAAGTAAGAATTTTGAAAAAGCTTTATGCCTCATACTCATGCTATAGGAATCATTTGATTCATATACTGTTAACTGAAAAAACAGAAGGAGTTTCATCATTTCTGCGAACCAACTGTGACTCATCCTTCTGCATTTCGGATATTCTACCTCAGTTAGCTGAGAATTATCCGAATTCCACTTTGGAGATTGCTTTGTCAGCAACACGTGCTCCAGCTTTACTATTCAGTGAGAAAAACGGAGGTACGAAATTGAATAGGTAGAATGACCTAGTTCACGTCATATACGTGAAACGCTAAAATTTTTTCTGAGACGTTCCTTTCATTTTTTGAGTGAAATGCGCGTGAAACGGTTGTCCCTCTCTATTAGCGTGAGATTAAGTTTTGTCCTCTTGCAGGAGTTATCTCGATAAGTGTTGGAGCAGTTATAATAATATTCGTGATAAAAGATAACAGTAGAAAACAAGCCGCTGTGATTGATTTAGATGCTGTTGCTGACGCTCACTTGAATCTTCAGGTAGTGTTTCTCCGTATGAAAAGAAAAGCAATGTCATTGCAGGCGAATAATGTTAGTGGATCAGTTCAATTAACCAAATTCGATTTGCAAAACAGATTTAATGGAGTTCAAATAACAAATGATGAACTAGCTGATATTTCACTCTTAGTTTCGCAGTTATTAGAAAACATGTTTAATGAGATGTTAGTTAATGGATTTCCTCTTCCAATCCCTCGAGTTATTCAACTATATCGTATAAAGTTAGACATTCTAACAAGACGTATCTATATACGAACAGATATAACGGTAATCATCTGCCAATCAGCTGGTTTCATAAGTTCAAATTTAGGTTGATGAGAAACGTCTATCCAAACTAGCAGCACAAACGCTTTTCAATGGTCCAGGGTTCCGTACTGGCTTTCCTCAAAACCCAGTATTTGCCCAACCATTCACTACTATGTCTCCAGACATACAACCAGTACGAAGACCTTTTCCTGTAGCTCCTCACAGCCATCCAATGCGAGTTTTTTTCAGAGAAATTAGAGTATAACTTATCGATAGGGTAAAGATAAATCCCGGTAGTCAATAGTTGTTGATCTCTACCCTTCTAACTTCTTACCGTCTCCACGGGTAATGAAATGTTTATTTATTCTACATTGTATATAATACTTGATTGTTTATATTGCTATAAATGAAGCAGTAGTAGATTTAATATTTATTAAAATACATGTCTCTTATTAAAAAAGCATGCTTGCTCTCTCTCAAATATAAAACAAGAATAAATCTGGGTGAGTAAAAACGATACAACATAAAATAAAATAAAGAGAAAATATCAGAAGCCCGTGTGCAGAAAAGAAATCCAACTAGCGATAAATGTTCAATAATAGAAGTTTAATAACCTATTGTGCCTGTACAGACCCGTACCACACGGTGACCAGAATGATTATGTCTTTTTCTCTATACCAGGTATTCACAAATAGAGAGATATCAAGAAAATCAAGAAGATACTAAAACTACTCATGCAAGCAGATGATTCAAGTGGATAAGAGCGTGCATGCAAGGATTCGCTCTCATCGTGGCTTTCATGAACTACAAACTCGATATCTTCTGGTTGGTTTAGAGATCCATAAATCAGGTGTGCATCATTCAAAAGTTCCGTATAGGATTCTACAGGTACAGGTTGCCAAGGATATTCGCCATTCTGTAAATAATTAGAATTACTCAAGAGTTGTCAATTTATCAAGACTTACGTTTTTGGATTTAGAATCCATTATAGGATTTCTTAAAAGTAAATCGTCACTGCTCAAACGAGTGTTTTTGATACGATCATTTTCATCTCTAGGGAAAATTCCAGTTCTTCCCTCATTTGCTAATTTAGCGACCTGGAAAGTCAGAGCTCATACTTCGTTGAATAGAATTCGAAAATACCTCTAAAACATAGTTTCGATCCAAAGAATTTGGAATTTTTCCAGCCATCACTCTTGCTTTGGGATGAAGTCGGGCATCAGTAGCTGGAGCAGCCGTAGTGGTTTTCATTTCTTCCACATTGATACGAAGTCTTAGATTGTCACTGTTACAGAGTCCTCGAGTACCACGATCAATGTTTTCCTCTTGTCCACCCGATGTAGCTGAAAAAAGGAAAATAACAATGTTATACTGACAATGAATACTTACAAATCCAGTAATAAGTGCTTCCTGGTTCAAATTTCGGTGATCCGGGTAGAAGTGCCGTTCTTTTGATGTTAATCAAAGTTGTACGACGCATCTTTTTATTGCATAATAAAACTTGTGTCCTCAATGTTTCCAAGGTACAAGACAGGTATGACATCTCAGACACCTGATTGACAATCAAGTGCTTTGCGCGATCATCAGCAGTTTCATCGGGGCAGAATACTTTTATGGTATCGCCAATTCGAACATTGATCTCAGGATCGTCGAAACCACGAAATCTGAGAATAAGAAGATAAGTATTGAAATATAAGCTAGCTAGTAATAATCCCCAGAAATTTCGAAATTTCAAGGAAAGTTTATAGTCAAAGGATTATGAGGGTGGTAGGGGTATATTACAAGCGAGTTTCCGGTCAGTGCGCTGTAGACGCAATCCCATTAAGAAGATGTCTTTGGCGGTGTCATCGTTGGTTGTCTTAATTAGGCAACAAAACAACCGCAAACCCTCTTTATCCGTTATTTGTTAGCGATATCTTAGCTTCTGGTTGTCTTTTTAGCTTCCGAATGGTATGAAGAGATCACTAATAATCAGGACACCTGACGCAGTAAAACTCTAACCCTTTTATGTTTTCTAAGCCAGCTTGATCCCCAACTGAGTAAACTATCAGTTTGTTTTACTAATAACCACCTATACAATGACTTAATTTAGGCATTGTGGAGAGCTAAGCTTGAAGGAAGTCCATTTTTGTTTGACCGATGGACACCTGCCAACTAATTGACGAGTGCGACGACGGTCCTGCACATAGTACAAAAACAAACAGAGGAAAGAAATAAGCTGCCATTGGTATCATAATTAAATAATTGTCGTCAAATTCATGTAAGACAAAGAAAGCAGGTGGTGGATAAGACAAGAACGTTTTTAATGGTTACAAAGAGGAGCAAGGAAAGAGAGCAGCAGGAGAATGTTGACCTCAAATTGACTACAGTTAACGGCAATCATAAGCGGCGTGACGTCAGAAGATTCACACATGACGTACAGTTTATAGAGCCATCTTAAACCATATATGGTCCAAAACACTAATAGTCATGATGATGCGGCTAGACAAAGGACAATGAAATCCTTCACATCATTATCTTAGATAGCCATCAATTAACATATGGCTCATTGAAACTTCTCTACAGTTCCGTCATAACCAATCCGTTTTTAGCTTGATAATCCCTTGAAGATCATGAACATCTTCAAAAAACGTTATTGACCTGCCGAGTATTATACATCATCTTTTATTGGAATAGATGTCCCAACTGTCGGCTGGTTAATGTGCACACAGGTGGCTCATAGGTTCTTTCAGAGCTCAATTTCAATGAAAAGAAGACGGAGAAAGTAAGAGCATCTTCTAAAATATTCTCTCTTTGCTATATTGATATGTAAATATCGTAACAATAGCTGGGATGGGGATGAGATTGGTGAAAGGTATTCATCAATACGACCCCAGTTGGCCTCACACAAACTGCTCTTTCTTCATTTATATCGAAAACACACAGCGAACCACACATTCATTGAAGACCAAAAAAAGGAGCAGATTTGCCTTTTCGTCCCTCTTTTATCTATTCTTTCATCACTTTCCACACAAGATGAATCCGTAAAGAATGACATTCACAAAACTAGCACCACTTAGTTTTCTATATTAGGCGTGCGGTCGGCATCTAGCAAAAGACTAGAAATTTCATATAAAGCTAATTACCGTCAAGTTTACTCTACTAGATAGCATCTCGCGCATGAATGTGTCGAAGTCAAGAAGAAGTTTTATATTGAGTATGACCCGACTCGGTAAACTAAGGTTAGAATGATTCGTCAAACATCTACTTGAGCAATCGAGGCTGTTCAAATATGGTAAAAAAGACAGCTGAAGGTGATGTAATGGAGAACGGTTGATAATGAGCTCAATGGAGGGTTACAACTAGATTTTATAATATACAGTCCTACCCTTACATATGTTTCTCAAGACATTTAATTTCTAAATGGAGAAGATGCGATGAACCAGCAATTATATTTCCCTACATACGGTCCTCATTTCATAATTGGAGCTATATATTCTATAGTTAAGGCTGAATTGACCTTGGTTCCTCACTTCCGCTTTTCTTCTTGTAGAAACAATGAAAACCAACAGTTTTTTTTCAAATATCGTCTCTACATTTAAAATTCTTTACTAATATTTGGAGCAATTGAGACTCCGAGAGGTCGTAGCGAGTCGCGAATGAAAAATTCAATCTGAATCATTTATGATTTAACCCCTTTGCTAAGTGTTATAGCCTCTATACAATATATTCATCGGAAGATTACTACAGAGAGCTATTTTTGAAATCTGGTAGACATCAATTAGGCACGGATATAAATTCACTGACGCCGACATCTCCAACTGGAACACCTTCAACTGTCAACTCAGATTAAAATTATATCATCACTAAATTCAAAAATAGCGGTAGTAAATAATCCCAAATATTGGTCGAATCGACGCAGCCCATCTCCTATACGACCTCACAGACTATACCGTCTTCATTCAAATCCCAAGGAATTCTCGATACTCCAGATAGATTATCATAAACTGAGGGTACGTAGCGAGAAAAATCAAACCACAAGTGGGATTTAAATCAAACTAAAATCGGTTTGAGAGCAATTGTAACATTGACCCTTACGGATTAGTAAGCCAAGATGGCTTGAGGAGCCGGAAACACAATTTCTTAGTACGTAAGGACTCTAAGACCAAGTCCAATAAGGAAGAGAGGACCACATCCGGCATCTCATTTCCTTCTGCTTCCAGCATCCGATGCCGTTCGATCATGATTATTGGAGCGATAGTTATACTTCATTCAATCCTATACAGCCTCTGACGCAACTAAGACATATTGTCAACATGACACCTAGATGTGCAAATTCTTAAATCCTTCTCAAACCCGGGGTAATCTAATCGATCAGAAAGTAGTGAATAATTAGAAGCCGATTTAGTTGCTCCCTGGATGATCAGCTGTGCCGTTGGCATAGAACCCACAGGCCTATACCCATGCACAGAACCCTGACCTTACGCGATGGCTGTATCACCGTTCAACCATATCGGGTTCTCATGCAGCGGCACTTTCAACCAGTATTGTCAATAAGTTGTAAAAGATAAGATTAGAATGAGAAATAGCCTAGCTACTGTTACAAACTGAATGACCCTAGTAATTCATCAACAAAATTTTCGAGAGCTTTAGAAGGGTTTAATTCATCTTCCCTAATCCAACCAATAATCCAAACATGGGGAAACAATAATAATTCTAAATTGGCTAAATCAACGACATGACTAAGGAAGTTTCAAGTAGACATATATAGTCGTCTTAATAAGTTCTATTCTGAGGAGAACAATCAACATATGATCCCCAAGAGCGAAAAATGCCAAAACCATGGTCATCAGAAAAGACTATGTCAGTATTAACAAAAACATAATTATGGAAGTGGTTGAAGGAACTCAATTTCGTTATAACACATCACTATGAGTGCCAATAGCTGTGACAACATTACGCAACTCCAAAAAACGTTTATATTTCAGAATTATAAACCATGAGAAACAAATGTCTCATATTACTTATAGGTCTTACTGTTTAAATAAACAGTACCTTTGCTTAAGTCCCAGTAGGAGTCAGGGATATAAAGTACTTTTATCAATATACCACGAAGGAATACATAACTTTATAGGAAATGGATATAATCTGACTATGTCGCAACATGACAAGGTTCGGAACCTTATCTGCGTTTTTCGCTGATATGTCTGAATGATATCTGTCACCTGGACAATACAAGTTGCCAGTCAAAATCGTCAGACTAATTCTCTCATCGTATTACTTTTACCAAGAATTTCAGGAAAATTCAGCTTCATGAGCTTAAAGCCCACTCAGCCATTCAGAGCCAAGCCTAATGATGACCAACATGTCGAGACTTTCCCACAATTTGTTCGCAACTAATCTTTCGTTGCGCAGTAACAAATTATATGCATCTGACCCATAGATGAGGTTCTGATATGTAAAACATGCACACCTTGCCCCTTTTTTTTTGTTTGACAAAATCATAAATTGCATGACATATTCATATTAGATGATGAATGCACAAACGGCTGCACAAACTTGGCACAGCTATCCATTTATGAAGAGAAAGCCACCATCAGCACCACCAGCAGCGCAGAAGCTTAATCTTCATGGCAAACACGAAAAGTGGACCAAAAAGACCCTAGACTGTCACAAAAGTTGACACTGTGAGACTACTCGGACAAGGAAACAAATAGATTGTGTCAATGGGTACTTGATATCTTCTCAGTTATACAAAACAACTGGGTGAGCAGAAAGAGTCTATCTCAGGGCATGTTTGGGACAAGACTCTTCGAGCCCTCTTACACATGTTAAGAGATGCGAACGAATATGAAGACAAGCAGGACAACAACCCCCTACTTATTCATTAGAGTAATTGAGGAAAACATAGAACGGTAACTGCTTAGAAGATTAGAAGACGAAAACAAGCTCTAGAACACCTGTGCTTTGAGACAATCCCATTCTAATGAATGTCAGAGACTCATTAGGTTCCCCTATAAGCCGATATGCGGCAAAAAGCCCAGCAGCAGGCTTACTAAGCCTGAAGCGAAGAATAATGTATGCAAAGCAAAATCATTCAAGATTTTTAACGCCTCGGGCGATTTTACAGACAGCTATCGCAGTTTTTCAGCAAACTACTACATAAGTAAATGTTTTTCCTTCAAGAGCTTTTCGTTTGATAGAAGGCCAATAACAACCAATTCTGTCTATCGATCCCTTTATGTAATCAGTATCAATTGAGAGGTCGCTGAATAGAAAATGACATATACGGGCAATGAGCCTATCCATATGGTTCCATTCTGTCAGCTTGCATAATCCTAGAACCGGATGAGAAACAGATTGTTGCTCAAAAGACCCGAAAAATGCCTGATCTCTTCAAATGTTGTCTTAATGTTGAGAAGAAAGAGGCGTTTGTGGATTAGTTAAATGCACCTTCTCAACTGGTAAAGCGGTACTACTAATTATGATGGCCTAATCTGCATTCCTAATATGGCTGGATGATAACAAAGCGGCACTCATGAAAGAGAGCAGGACTGATGACCGCAAAACAATCTGCTTTGAACGGCTGGTTATAGATGTTGTAAATCTTCAATATTGCCGCTCAAAAACCAAGTACTTATCATATTCAAGATTCCTTATGGTCATCTTTTGTATTTGTGTATAAGCACAATGGGATCCTCATATGGTCAACTTATAAATACACGAGAAGTAGAAAACTATCTATCTGACTTTGCCGATGTTTGTCTTCAATAATACGCAACATGTGTAAGCATATTAGCCGACAAAGACGAACTTTCAAACAAAGAAATCCGGAAACCTTGTACAAAACATAAATATGTGCAGATTTGGCTTGCGGATATAGATGGTATAAGTCAGGAGAAAACACGAGCAATTTGCTTTCGGGAAGATTGTAAACATGAGAAATGTCACAATTACAATGACGAAATATGCGTTTGTCTATCAAAACACTTCTCAATATTGATATCGAAACGTTTCGTTAAGTCTGACCCAGTGGTTACTATTGAGTGGCAAGAGGATGATAAGCCATCCAATTGAACAAGGAAATTCCATTACCCCTAAAATTTATATTGAGAAAATGAGTGAGTGAAACGTGGGCAGAGTTTCAATTTCTCTTGCTCTTACATTGAGGAAGATACGGAAAAGAACTAGACATATATATACGTATACGCAAAGTATAATGGACTGAATAGAAGAGCATCCTCTTGAGGATCCATTACGCTCTCATGGATCATCTCTCTCACACCCGAATATAATCAAATAATATTGGGCTCAGAAAAGATATGCTCAAATTATGTGAGCAGAGAAGTCGTGTCAAGCATTCTTGGCACGTCTCAAAAATAAATAAACATCTGGGGCAAGTTGTCCGAGATAACTTTGGATCCTAGAATGCGCACGCGCGATGATATCTCTTTCCTTTACAGTCATAACTTATAGAAACCTTTTAATTAAAGGGTCGTAAACCACATGAATTATGTCCTAATAGAAAATTGACCCTCCAAATGAAAATATCGAGGCGACAGAAACTTATTACGCATCAACTCTCGTTCAATATACAGTGAGTTAGGTTTGGTCGCTATCTAAAGCGGCCGAAGTCGTCAACACAACTCTTAATCTCTTAAATTCGCCATATAAGACTATTTTGAAGAGACAATAACGGAAGTCCGTTCTAAATATGCAAATAAATGAGCTACCCGTGGAGCCATATTAAGGGTATCTATTTCGATTGAGCACTTGAAGAAAGGTGAGAATGTGGAAATGAGGGCGATGATTTTGAGGGGTCAGTGGTTGAGAAGATGAGTAGAAAAAATAGAGAAAACAGTAGAAAAAATAAAAAAACGAAACAAAAAAAAACAAAACTCACAGTGTATTCGTTGTGTTCCAATGAATGATGTGTTCCTTTGAATAAACGAGTGGGATTAATAGCAATACGATTTGATGAAGTTGCATTTTGGCGTTGAAAACCAAATTGATAAACGGATAAAACAAGAAAAAATGGTTCAACTGACTCCCTGAAACCAATAGTTTTTCAAAGAACAAAATTGAAGAAAATGAAGCGAAAAATGTTGAGCTAATAAAAAAAAGAATAAAAAAACCAAAATATAAGGATAAAAACAATAAATGAGATGATATCATTAGGCTATATGAGCTCTGCACAATAAACAGGTTGACTAGGAGCATGACAGCCTACGATTACCGCAATGAAGAGGCGGGGCAGAAGGAGGGATTGGGACGTTGTATATGGAGGGTGGGGGGAGAGTAACCTCAGCTCCGCCTTCTCAATGAGAGAGAAGAAAAAAAGAGAGAATGAAGAAAAAGCAATCGTCCAGATGACATTCAAGAAGTACCAAAAGAGAAAGAGGAAAAGCACGAAAAGAGATGGCTGGTAGATGACAAGAGTCACAACGTAAACGACAGCAAAATGCCATCAAAAGCAAACACGTTGATGAGGAGAATGACGATGATGGCAGCAGCTTGAGAAATAGCATGGCTATTCAATCAAAAGAAATAAAAGTCTTGAAGAAATGATCAGCCTCGTAATGTAAAATGGATTTTACAATCAATATGGTTTTTATTTTCTACTGCAGCTTGATGAAGAGCATTGTGTAAAACTCGAAACAACTTAGGATACTTTTGTAAAAAAACATGATGTATCATCATGCTATTCCGAAAATTCCCTCGATATTTGCACAAGCTAAATCGAATCCTTATGTTGAACCGACCGACTTGTAAGCAGTCTAATGCAAAATCATGAAAAAACTCGCTCATTGGGACAAAAATCACCGAAAAAGAATAGGATAAGCCATATATAGGTCAATTCACAAGGTCGTTACGGAAGGAAACAAGACTTCTCTTTCAGAATTCAAAAGACCTAATCATCTATTCTCCTTTCTAAACTTTTGACTATGAAAATGCTATTAATATTACTGCTTTTTCAAGCGTCACTAACAATAGGTAAGGCATTATATTTCATATTCACTAAACAAGACTATTTTGTTTTAACAGGCAAATATGTAGCATCAGACAAGAGCTATGACCTATTCCAAGAAAAGGTTGGTTAATTTCGCGAACAGTTAAGATCAATAAATTACAGCTGCTTCACAAAAGTTCAGGAGAAATAGCTCATATGTTTACTGTGCCTCCAGGAGAGCAGGAAATCAATTTAGACTTCAACTTTGATTCCCAAGGCAAGAAACAACTTAAAAATATATACAAAAAGTAAAATGACATGCATCCACAATTTCCTTTAGTTTTTGAATTGTCAAATTATTTCAACACTAACCGGAAATGAAAAAAGCACAACAAATGCGCACAGTTTAATATATATCTGGCGCATTTTGCAACATGCACTGGCAGCTTAAGGGCGGGTGAACTCAAGGAAATATTCCAAATACGTTATAAAATACTTACCAAGCGTTTATTTCGATGATGTATTCTTAGACGAATGAGAGAGCAACCGCTCGAGGCGCATTATTCAATATAAATGACGTAAGAGTAAAGGCGGTTAAGAAATTAGCATAATTTTAGAATGAGATCTGATGTTTGAAAATTTGTTTAATTCTAATTCTCCGTTATTAATAAACAAAACACTTATTACAGAGCATTCAAACATCCGGAGATCTGCGGATATTCGTTTAAGAGACGAGCCATTAAGCAGTGATGACGAAACAAATGAGGTTGTATAATATTATAATCCTATCATTGATGGATACTGAATTGTAGGGAAAGACCGAGGTTGTAGATGTCTTCCGGTTCACTAAAAACTTATATGAATGCATGATACCCGAAGGAGAAATCAAGGTTTTCATTTGAGCAATACAACTGAATGCTTTTTTAATTGACAGAAACCAACAACGTTAGCTGTTATCTCATTTTTGTCTTCACTAAATGAAACTGATCCTCATTTTGAGATAACGGAAGATCGGATGAAATGGTTCTCAATTGGAGACGTTAAAAGGAATGAAGTTTGTTTACTTATACAAGTTGTTGATGAGTTTTCACACTTTTTTAGGGAAATAACCACAGCGTCTTCCAAATTGAACTATTAGTAATTGAAGGTTCTAATATCCTATCCTCCGCTTCCGTTGATTCTCTTTATGAATTTGTCATTGAGGTGACCTTCGTCGTTTTTTTTCTCTCTTTCATGTGAACTTTGAAGGCAAAACAAAATGATATGAAAGTGAACAGTACAGTTCAAGTGGAAATACTAAGTCTCTCTCCCACTACTCTTCGTGCTATTACCACCACCCAACAAACAACTACAAGTTCCAATATCATCGAAGGAAGTGGTGAAGAAATTGAGGCTTCTGGTGAAGCAGTCTTTGATGATTTCACTACATCAACTATCGCTTCTGAACTGAATACTTCTGCTGAGGTTGGAAAGGATCAGGGGTTATCTCATAGTGTTGAAGCCTCTGAATTACTCGAGGGAATGAAATCAGAAGAGATGGGTTCTGGAGAGAGTTTTGAAAAAAATGAGAGCTTGCTTCGACAACAACTAACCTCTTCGGAAATCGCTGAGCCAAACGCAGATGATGACCAGCCATTGACGGAGAATCTCACAAGCGTTTCTACACCTGGTGAGGATTTAGCAAAACCTAATGACATTGCAGATAGAAGAGGTAAGGCGTTCTGCTTTGAAAAATAAGCTGTATGTGATCTTCTAAGGCATAGAGATTCTGCTCAATGGTACAACGAATGGGCTGTACACTATTTCGGATCAAGAACATCTGTCTCGTGGAGATCTTCTGAAAGGGCTCTTCTTTTCTTTACGTATCAATGATGAGGTGGGATTTTCTTATGTTTTTACCAGCTGTGAATCGCCTTATTCATTTGTGCAATAACAATAATCCCTAATCCTTCACTTTCGAAGCTTAAGAATTATTTTGTTTTTCTTTCTCTATTAATTTGTCCAATTCAAGAAATGGCTGTTTTCGACAGCTTTATTATTGTCACCAATAGCACTTGCTAGTAATTAATTTGTTTTTTCCAAAATTGCCCAGTCATATCTCATCCTTATCGTTCATCTTCCTATCTCATTTTAAGTTGACTAATGGTGAAACTTTAATTGCTGACCTAACGGATTATGATTGGATTTGATATTCTATTGACTTGTAACCTGAAGTAATCGGCTCATGAAGTCTGATTTGCCGTTGGGGTGCGACCTTATACTAAGTGTTGTGACTTCCTGCAATTCTTTCGGTTATTCTAACACCTTGCAATGCTTTATCTGTAACCATCGAATCTCTTTCTAAGCTATTTACCTCTTTTCTTCCAGAAGTCTTTGAAGAAAGTCAATTTAACTATTGATCGCAATGACTTGTTCACTATTCGTCCCAGTAGGATTCCCACGAATGCTAAAGCATATCTGTTCGTAAATGATGTGAACATTGATGGAGATATCACTATCAAGGTATGCATTGATATGCGTTTATCATAGTTGTTGGTCATATAGGTTACTGCTGAAGATGAGGAAACTGGTATGACGGATATTAGGAATATAACGATCAGAAGACGTTCCTCTGAGCAAAGCAATAAACCCAAAAAATCTAATCAGTTAACTACGGTAGTGTTCAACGTGAATGAGAATGTCCCTTCGGGCACCACAATTGGTAAAATTCCTGATGGAACTGACATGATGGTTATGAGCAAAGCATCCATGTAAAATACAACTGTTTATTGAGGGGAAATAATTGAGAATTTTACAGTTTTGCTCTGGTGGGTGAAGATCTTCTTCTATCCTGCATCAATGAGTTGCCATGCTTGGATTACGAGAAGCAAACTGTTCACTACATTCTACTCCAAAACAAGAACGGTAAAAGAATGTTCATAGATAACTACTAATATGATATTTGAAGGATCTTTGCCCATGATGGAAGTTGTGGTTAACGTAAATGATATGAATGATCATCTTCCACAACTTTCTATGACTGATGACATCGTTCGTATTCTGGATAATCGTCTGATTGGAGCTTTCGCTATCGAGGTGGGATGTTAGTAATACAACAACTCACCATGTAGGTTAATAGATTCTGGATAAGGACACGATGAGTCCAAACGAAATTTCCTTAGAAGGGTCGGCATCGAGTTTCCTCTCTGTCGAATCTGTAGATAGAAATCTCTATCAGGTAATGCATTTTTCTCTTCTATGTTCATCAGTTATCAATCCAGTTATCTATCACTGGTAATGCGAAGACTGGTAGACATGAGCTTCAAGTTATCCTAACTGACGGTAGTTCCCGTATTGAGAAAACTATTCGAGTCATTGTTCTGGTGAGAAAGCTGAAATGGCATTTTTGAAAATGGTTCTTTCAGAGAGGAAGTTCCCATGCTCATTTCCGAAGAAATCGTTACGAGCGTTTAGTTAAAATTGAGCAGATTAAAAGAGGTTTTTGACTTGTTTCATCATTCTTTTCATCGCCAGTGTTAAGACGAAGAGTTGATTCGTGTAGAGCTTGAAGGAATTCCAATTGATGAAGCTAGATTTGTTATATTGAAAGGTAATCCGGGATGGATTAAAATGGATGACTATGGAGGATCACTCATCGTTTCAACGGAAGAACAGTTACATAACAGATAACAGCGTTTTCTCTCATCTTTAACTATTAGGTTGACTCCATCGGCTCAGCTGACTGTAGGAGCAATAAGCAGACACAACGGACAACTCTTGGCTGAAACAGTTGTTGTACTCAATGTGGTTGGCGTACCAGAAAACGAGAAAACAGATGATGTTTTTGTCAAGAAAATGTATGAGAAGACTTTAGACAGAGGTAATAATGTTGGAAATTTAACTTCAACGTGATTTCCTTGTTCCAGAACGAAGTGAAAAGCTAGAGTTTGAGTTAAATGTCCGCAACGATCAGTTAGATAACAGAATAATTATAAAAAGAAATTCTATTTTCGCATTGGACGAGAATGCTCAAATCAAGGAAATCCCATCGGTAATTTTC